TAATAAATGTTGGTTAAATAAACGGTCACAAGCATACCTCTCTGGGCAGCTGTGTGCCAACGTTGGAAGCTTTTCAAATTTGGAAAGAAATCTAAATAAATGAGAAAGCCTCAAATGACTGATATGTATGTATGTTTATATAGGCTACTGTAATTGCCTATAAACTTATCTATAACCCACACTAGAGTTTTTGTTTGTTATTGAATTTCTGGCACCCAGCACCTAGTACAGTGTCTGACAAATAGTGTGTGTGTGTACATGCACGTGCACGTGCTTAGTTGTTCAGTAGTGTCCAATTCTTTGCAACCCCATGAACTGTAGCCCACCAGGTTTCTCAGTCCATGGGATTTCCCAGGCAAGAATACTGCAATGGGTTGCATTTCCTTCTCCAGAGGATCTTCCCAACTCACGGATCGAATCCACATCTCCTACATTGGCAGGCAGATTCTCTACTGCTGAGCCACCTGCAAAGCCCTTGTCAAATAGTAGGGATTCAATAAACATTTTTTTAAATAAATGCTAATTTAAAGGGAGATATACACAGTGAGATTCTCTTTTTGTAATGACCCTTCATTCTTTAGTTCTCTACTAAAACATTTTTCAAATTTGAGCTCTTGAAACCAAGAATACACACATCTAGAGGCACCAGTTTGGAAAAACTTAACCGTACATGGTGGAATTATATGACTCAATTTGATTATAAAGTGGTTGTCCACAGAGGGGCAGTACAGTGTAATGGTTTAAGATTCAGGTTGCCCTGTAATTCCACTCTGTTCTCTGTTTCTTAGAGTATCATAAAATGACACAAATTTTTAAAATTTTGTGGAGAGCTCCTGGACTTGTTAAACAGTTTGAGAAACTGGAAAAGCTAACTGACACAATTCTGTTTGGTTACTAACTGACACAAAGCCTTGATTTGCCATGCTTTGTATCTGGGATAGGAAAGTAGCATTCTGCCATGAAGGATTTTTCTCTAATACAGTAATTCCTATAAGTTTTTTATGGCTTCTAAGTTTTATGTCATACTTTAAAAGACTTTTCTTACTCTGAGATAGTAACATTTTTTCTCATGCTTTCTTCTAGCACTTTTATTTTTCAGACTTAATTTCTTGATCCATCTAGGATTTATTTTAGTATAAGGTGTGAAGTATGGTTCCAATTTTATTTTTCTTCCAGATGACTACCTAGTTTGTTCCAACACCATTCACTGAATTCATTTCCTCACAAATTTGAAATACCACCTTCATTATATTCAGAATTTTTGTAAGATATTAAAGACTAGTCTTTTTTTGTTTGTCCTGATTTGAGTGAAAACATTTTCAAGTGTACTTTTTAACCACCCCGGGGCTTTGGATTTTTTAAAAATAATTTTTTAGTTGTATATAGACATCAATATCCTAGTCAAACAAGATTTTTATACTCACTTCACCAATTTGTCATTACCAAGTTCGTTTTAGTTTAAGTGTACTGCACACAACCTTCAAATATTATGAACATTTCTCTCTCCCAGCTGTCACTACACCAAACTACATATGTTATATTTCCCTAAATGATCTTGCTGTGCTCTTTGCAGCTCTTCTGTACAGTTGATGTCTCCATCTAACAAGTTGCTCAGAAGTTACTATATTTTAGGTGAGGCCCAAGGTGAAAGCCTATTATCACCATCCAGTTCATCTAAAAAATAGGCATTAGTTTCCATTTAACCGCAACAGGTTATGTTTCTGGAAAATAACAGATTTTGAAGAACTATGGCAGTCATTTGTTGGCATTTTAAACAGCCCACCTGGGTGGGGGTGGGGTAGTCCTACAAAATGCCAACTGCTATTGTGGAATTTTTTTTGCTATTTATTCCAGCAAAGAATGATTCAGACACTGAAGAAAAAGGGTCACCCTGAACTAGGTCTTGAACCCAAAGAACTATTTGTACAGATACTCATCCAAGACACATCACAGCCTCTACCTCAACAGATGCTCTTTCAAATGTTTCATGACTCTTCTCAACAGTCAGTCTCCATTTAAGGGGAGGAGTATGATGCTGCCAGAGACAGCTCTGCTGGCATGAAGGCTGGCCTAAAATTTCTATTTAAAAACTGGACCAAAATATGTTTGGCTTCTGTTGGCTACTTAAAATTTCAAGTTAAGAGGAAGAAATATTACTCTCCATCCTGAATGGGCCTTGGGTGCCTCACTCACAGAGTAGAGTGGTAAATGGTAAGAGAGTCACAGAGAAAGGAGAGAAATTAGGAACATTGACTGAGGTATTACATATAGATTATGAAGCCAGATAAGAAAAACTTGGGAGTGAAAAGAAAAGCCTTGAACAGGGAGAACCCCGCCCCCGCCCCCGCCCCCGCCATCGCCATATTCGACTTCCTAACCCGAGTATCCTGATTAAGATAAGTATTCCACATGTCACCTGTCACCATGTCAGTCATCCCTGCTTAGCACCCCTCCCCTGCCTCATGGTCTTCCACCTCCTGACCCCTTTCCAGTGGCCTCTCTTCATCTCAGAACACGGCCACACCCAAGGGCCTTCTCTCTCACTGCAGCTTGTTTTCACCTCAGCGCACACCTCAATACCCCCTAATTTCGATGCATTGCCTCAGCGCCCCCCTTCAGAGTCTTTTCCTGTTCTCAGCATCTCCCTCCGCTCGAGAGACGCCCCAGCCTCCGCTCCAACCAAAGCGCCTCTCCTCTGCGCACTCTCCTCTCCTCAGCGTCGCTCCCTCACCCCAGCTCGCCACCCACACAGGTTCTTTTTGGCTCCTGGCGGCTTTCCCGCAAGACCCTCCCACGGCCCCGCACCTCGGTTCTTCTCCAAGTCTAGGGCCCCGCCCCTCAATCTTCGCCCTGCCCTTAGTGGGGCCGCCCCGCACCGTCCTGGCCCCGCCCACGCCAGGCGCGAGCCCAGACTAGCGGTTTGGCGCCAAACGTCTGGGTCTCCGACGCGTTGGACGCCTCTCTCAGCGTTCTGATTCCGAATCAGAATCCCCGAGGACTAGAAAGATCCGGCCGGGGGCAGGATTCGAATACCTTGAGAACTTGGGGGAGACTGTCGGTACGAGTGGTGTTTGTGGCAAAAGGGGAAGGCGGGTGAAGAATGTGAGGGGAAATGGGGGCTTTTCTTAGGTCGTGCTCGACGGTCGTTGCTGGGCCCTAGGCTGGTGGCTTTGTGCGTTTCGGCTCCCATCCCCACCCCGTCGAGTGCTCTTGAGGGATTTCCAGAATCGTTATTTTAAACCAAGTCGGACCTAAGTTTTGAAGAGGCCTCCTCGGGCCCCTTATGAGGGAGTCCGGTGTCAGGAAAATGGCCGGTGGGCGGGGGCGGTGAAGGTTACCTGGACCGCGCTCGGCCACGATAAGGGACCGCTTCTGGCGCCTTAAGCCAAGGTGTTTGGGAGCCCTACTTCAGATTCAACTGTTCATTCCATCAACTGCTATTTGAGAAAGATGGAGAACAATCTTTTTATTAAGAAAGAAAGGACAGTCACGGAATTGGGGGTTGTCATGTATATGATAGCTATCGTGAGTGAGGGACCGCATTCCAGAAGATTCCGTTTACATTGTCTCCTTGTTTGCCTCGAATACTTTCCTGTACTAGGTGGTAACGACCCTACTTCTGCCTCAGAAGTTTGTTCCCCACTGGGCTGGGCCCCAACTTAGTTTGGTGTTCAGTGAGGAGATGAAAGAGAGCAAGCTGATTATTTGGACTACATTTTCTAACGAACACAGTCATGCCTTGTAGATTCCTGACTTAAAGGCTTTATCTGCTTATTGACCCTAATATTTTATCATTAAAATACTAGATTATTGTTGTTTAGTTGCTAAGTCATGTCGGACTCTTTTGTGTCCCCGTGGACTATCCACCATAATTTTAAATCTTGAAATCATGAATCTAGTTAATATTATAAAATGAAATACATCTAATATTTTGTGAAACAAAAAAGTATGTTACAAGAGAGCTCCTCATCATTCCAAAGCAGAAGGGATTCCTCATACATGAGAAAAATAATATCTTTTTATTGAGGATAGATTTAAGTCCTAGGTGCCAGGGAGGATGCAAGGAAGACTTAAAGTCAAAGTTCTTAGACTGTAAGCAAATATGAAAGTTTAATATCAATATGGAATTCTAAGATTCTACTTCTAAATAACCTTCCAAGACAACAAAAAAGATAGTTAGTCATGATTAACTGTGCTATAGGAAATCAAAAGATGATACAATGTGGCCATTTTTGAGGAAATAAATGAAACTAGTCCCTTCACCCACACATACCACACCAGAAAAAAGAAATAATGCCACAGGCTTAGGAGAAATAAGATAGGCCAGCCTAGTTATTGAGAAGGCAATGGCACCCCACTCTGGTACTCTTGCCTGGAAAATCCCATGGATCGAGGAGCCTGGTAGGCTGCAGTCTGTGGTGTCGCTAGGAGTCAGACAGGACTGAGAGACTTTACTTTCACTTTTCACTTTCATGCATTGGAGAAGGAAATGGCAACTTATTCCTGTTCTTGCCTGGAGAATCCCAGGGAAGGGGGAGCCTGGTGGGCTGCCGTTTATGGAGTTGCAGAGTCGGACACGACTGAAGTGACTTAGCAGCAGCAGCAGCCTAGTTATTCCAAACTAAATATTTTTTCTTGAAAAAAAATTTTTTTTAATTTAATTTAATTTATTTATGGCCGCACTGGGTCTTCCTATTTGCCATCCTTCTCCAGTTGTGGCCAGCAGGGGCTACTGCTGTGGGCAAGCTTCTCATTTCAGTGGTTTCTTTTGTGTGAAGCCGGGTGCTGGGCCCACGGGCTTCAGTATTGTGGTGCTTGGGCTCAGTAGTTGTGGCTCATGGGGCTCTAATATTTGTCTAATTATCTTTCTGGTCCTTGATGACTGAAATGAAATTAAAAAGTCTGTGGGCAAAGGATTTTGTACTATATGATCTGTGACAACTTATTAATATTTCTTGTTTTTCCAGAATTGATTATATTTCTGCTGTTCACTGTTCAATATGAAGGAGGATCAAGTTGTGCTGGAAGAACCGGGATTCCAAGATGAAGACGTATGCCTAGAATGTTGAAAGATACATAGATATTCAATCATTCTACAAAAATGGAGTTCCTTCTCTGTTTACTACTTTTAGAAACTTAACTACTATTTTTATTTATTAGAAATAAAACATGGTTCTGGAGAGAGGCACTATTACAAATATGTAACAACTTGTTTGGGAAGGGGTGCTAAGATTAGCTACTTAGCAGCTGGCATGAAAGTATTTTAATAATTTAACAATTGGTATGGCCATATTGGTACCAAACAGCAGAGGAAGGAGTTCAAGGTCTGGTGGAGAAGACTGAGAAAACATATTTAAAAATAGCTTGTGTTGTTCCACTCTTTTGGATTAAGGTCTTAAAAAGTTTGGAGAGACTGTTGAAATTCCCCAGTGGTTCAGTGGTTAGGACCCTGTGCTTCCACTGCAGGGGGGCTGAGTGCCGTATTGGGCTTCCTAGTGCTTTTGGTGTTGGCACTGCTTTTAAGTATGCAACAATATGTTTGAAAAAGTATTATTGATCCTACCTCAGTCTGTCTAGAGAAGCAGAATTTGAGGCATTTTGAAGTGACTCATAATGCTGAATTAAGTCTTTAAAATATGTGAAACAGTTGGATATGAAGAATGAACACTTTTTTTTCCTGTTCCATCTCCTTTAGGAATCTTTATTTCAAGACATTGACCTGTTACAAAAACATGGAATTGTAAGTATCTTTTCAACACTGTGAAATTGTCCCTTTGAGGGTTTCTCAGCCTTGACTCTGTTGGCATTTGGGACCAAGCAATTCTTTCTTGTTGAGGCCGCTGTCCTGTGCATTGTAGGGTGTTTAGCAGCATCCCTGATTCCTAACCACTTACTCTGTGCCAGCAGCAACCCTCTGGTTGTGACAACCAAAAATTTCTCCGGACATTTCTAGGTGTCCCCAGGGGGAAAAATTGCCCACAGTTGAGAACCACTGGTCCAACGGGAGGCATTCAGAGCTGTCTACTGAAAATTTACTTTCTGTGTCATGTGATTAGAGTAAATGATGTTGACAGAAATCCAGACTTTAAGTAACAAGCTAGATGAATTTCAATAGCAGTCAGTTGACAGTAAAACTTCTCTGACGTTACCCTTAAAGCCCTCACATTTACTCTCTTTCAGTTGAATTTAGAAAGTTGGAGCAAGAGAAAATGCTGTTTTTTTGGTTATGTAGTTATTTACATTCTCCAAGGGTAAAGAAAAAAATCTTAAAAGATTTTTAAAGAACATACTGGTAATGAAGTTCTGTAGAAAGAAGGAGCTGAACTGAGGGGGTGAATGTGTGATAAATTTGTTAGCTTTTCTACCAACAGACTCCTCTTTTGAATTCCTTGTTACATTGCCATGGTCTCACTAACATTCTTGGGAAATCAGGGCACAGCCAGAACATTTGGCAGCATGCTGGGTATGTTCTACTCAGATATTTCCAGAACATTTGGCTACATGGTGGGTGGGTTCCACCTGGCTGCTTGTGTAAAATTGGCATCGTAATGGAAGTAGATGGACATGAAAGCACATGACATAGTATGGGAGCCTTTGAGGCTGGCATTTTCTCAATCTGCTGCGCCCATTCTTTTACTTACAGAATGTGGCCGACATTAAGAAACTGAAGTCAGTAGGCATCTGTACCATCAAAGGGATACAGATGACAACAAGAAGAGCCCTATGCAATGTCAAAGGACTCTCAGAAGCAAAAGTGGACAAGATTAAAGAAGCAGCCAACAAGCTTATTGTAAGCAAAATCCATTCTTTGTTGTTTTAGCTTAAAAGGGCCCTGGGAATCTCTGTAGCCTTTCTCATTATGTACACTAGAAACTATTGTGAGAACTCTGAGTTCCTGTGGATTACCATATATTATATGCCCCATGTTAGCTTTTCATCATCTAAGTTTCGAAGTAGTAATTTCTGAAAAAAATGAGACAGAGGTTAAGAGACCAGGAAAACTATGAAGGCAATCATTTTTTACAAAACCTTTTATTTTTGTCTCCTTTTATATCACTTTTTTTCCTTTTCTGTGCCTCTGCCTTTCCTTTCTTTTTCTTTTTTTGTCCAGAATGTGCTACTTGCAGGATCTTAGTTCCATGACCTGGGATCAAACCCAGGCTCCCAGCAGTGAGAGTACCAAATCCTAACCACTGGACTACCAGGGATTCCCTCCTTTTCATATTTTTTTACCTTCCTCCTCCTATTTTTTGTATTATCTTCTCAAACATTATATATATGGCTGTTGTGAAGGGCTCAGCACCAAAGAAATTGCTCTCTCCTGGTATAGGCATTTGATAAGAGAATATTGCATTTGAAAAAGACCAACAGTGGCTGGGTCTACATTTGTGCAGTTAAGATAGATATGACCAAGAATGTGCTCATTGAGGCACCTGAGCTTAAAGCTAAGTGAAACCTGTACTTTGTACCTGGGCCGATAGACTGTAAGAGACTTATGCGGCCGAGAGGCTCCAAGCAAAAACACATGCCTTTGACCCAAGTTTTTGTGTAGAACTTTTGGGGGCCACTGGAGGCAGCACCTCTGGGAATAAGAATGTGCAGAAAGGCCAAAGGGTCTCCCTCTTTGCATAAGAGCAGGCTTCCCCTTTTCTACATGTGTATAAGAGAGTCTCATTCTCACCAAGTCCTAGAAATTCTCTTCACCAACAGTCACTTGTTTCCTTCCAGATGTAAGTGTCAGTGTGGTCCTGAACTTGGAGAGGACCCAGTTGAACTGGTCTGAACACAACTCAGTTGCTCTATGTTCTGAGTACTCCTCGGCTGTATACCCACAAGGCAGTTCCATAATTGCCAGGGTGTCTAATGAAGCCCTAGTGCAGTACCCAGGGTTTGGGATTTAAACTGCTCCTTTTTATAGCCAAGGCATTAGCCTTCTTTCCTTTGAAAAATAATTCTATTACCAAGTAGAAGAATCTTTCTCCTCATGTACCCACTAATGCACCAACAGTCTAATCCTCTCTTAACTGCAACTATTTGTTCTTAGAGAAAGAGATTGAGATATAGAGGGAGAGACAGAGACAGAAAGTTAATTTCATAGTACAGTGGTATGTATCAGAATTATCTGGAGTGGCTAATAAAGAACACAGAGGGCCAGCCTCGTTGAATGAAATCAACTGAATCACTTAGTAAAGTACGAGTCTGCTTTATGCCATAAATGTATCTCATTTAACCTTTATACCTTCCCTATGAGAGAGACACTATTATTATCCCATTTGACCCAAAAGAGGAAGCCAGAGTACTTAAGTATGATTAAGTAGTTTACCCCACATCACACAACTAATAAGTGTTAGAGACATATTTTGAACCTTGGTAGGGTGCCTCTAGAGCCTGTGTTCTTAATCATGGTCTTGTGCTGCCTTCAAAGACAAATGAACTGTAGCTTATAGCAAATGATGACTCTGAGAATCAAGTACATAGTTTTTGGCAGCATTTGAAATTAAGATATTTATCTTATATCTTTTTTGAACCTTTCCTTTTGTCTTTCTGTAGGAACCAGGATTCTTGACTGCATTTGAGTATAGTGAGAAGAGAAAGATGGTTTTCCATATCACCACTGGGAGCCAGGAATTTGAGTATGTATTCATATTTTTTATAACCACTAAGCACAGTCTTTGGAATACTACATTTCTTTTCCTCTATCCGAGTTGTTATTTTGACTATAAACAATAGAAATGGCTTCTTACTCTGCAGAATTTTTTTCCCTCAAATGGCAACTGAAGCAAATAAATTTTAGACTGCTTGTAAAAATGAGGTTACCTTTCTTAGAAGAAATTTAGACTCAAAGTATAAGTAGTTTCTGAATCAGTCTGTATTAATCAATAAGCCATTAAAGAAATCAGTTTAACTTTTCATTTCCTTTTTATTCTCCATTGATCAAGGAAATTCCATTTCACTTTTGGTTTTCCTTAAAAACCAGTTGTTAGGTACTCCGCTGGTGGTCTAGTGGCTAAGACTTAGAACTCCCAGGCAGGGGAGCCAGGGGCTCAGGTTCCACCCCTCCTCAGGGAACTAGATCCTGTATGCCACAACTAATTTAAAGAACCTGCATGCTCAATTGAGGATCAAAGATCCTGTGTGCCGCAACTGTGACCTGACACAACCAAATAAATATTTTTAAAAATTCAGTTGTTAGAGTGAATATTTTAGAAGAAATAATCCAATGTTGTTTTTGTTTTTCAGCATCAGCAGTTTTAACTCCTCACCGCCTTATTTTTTTTACCATCTTATGATTCCTAAGACACAGTCACCATCTTCCCAATGCAAATTGACTACAGTGTGTTTTTTTTTCCCTGCCTTAGTAGGCAGAATTACTATTTCATAAGTTAGAGAAGTTTCCAAGAGCAATTTGAACAGTATTTCCTCAAAGTATTCCTCAAAACCTTGACCTCACAAAAACTCCAAGAAAAAAAGAGTTTAATAGTCAAATATGCCTCCCTATTTGAATGTCTGCTAGGCAACTCAGACATCACAGGTCCAAAACCAAATTTCTGATATTTGCCCCAGATTTGCTTCTCCTAAAATCTCCCTCAGCTCAGATCTCTTCTAATCCTCAGATCTGAAACCTTAGTGTCATCCTTGGTGCTTTTTTTACCCCCTCACATGCTAACTCTAATCTATTAACAAATCCTGTCTGCTCTGTCTTCAAATATATTTAGAATAAACCAACCAGTTTCTTCAACAGATAAATTATAAAGAATAGAAAAGAGGTGGAGTCAGGGAGAAGACCTAGAGATTACAAGTCATTTAAAAGACATGTCACTTTATCTCAATACATAGATCTTATTTTGGATCCTGATTCAAACATACTATAGGAAGTAAGACATATGAGACTGAAAATTGAACCCTTACTAGGTAGTTGATATTAAGGAATTACTAATTTTTTAGATGTGATATGGTAATGCAGTTATATTAAAAGTAAGAGTCTTCATCTTGTAGAGATACTACTGAAATATTTAGGATGAATTGATATGTTGCCTAATATCTGCTTAAAGTAATATGAAAAGGGAGGGAAGTGGTTGGCAGTTTATATGGAAAAAATTTTGGCCATGAGTTCATGGTTGATAATTGTTGAAGCTGAGGGATAGGTACATGATGGTTTATTATTATAATGTTTTTTGTCTACTTTTGTTTATGTTTGAAATTTTTTTGTAATACAAAATTTATATGTATATTTTTCCTATTTGTATCTATATGAGTACAGAGAGGGAGAAAAAAATGTGAATTCAATTACTTCTCACAACCTTCTCCTTTGTTACCTCACTGGTCTAAACTACCTATTAATATCTCTTCTGGATTATTGATAATAGCTTCTAACTTACTTCCTTCCTTTAGACCTTGCACCTACCATTTATTCTTCACATAGAAGGCAGAATAAGTTTTTTTTTTATAATTTTATTTATTTATTTTTGGCTGTGCTGGGTCTTCATTGCTGAGCGGGCTTTTCTCTAGTTGCTGGGAGCAGGGGCTACTCTTCATTTCGGTGCACAGGCTTCTCATTATGGTGGTCTTTCTTGTTGCAGAGCACAGGCTCTAGGGCTCATGGGCTTCAGTAGTGGTGGCATGTGGGCTCAGTAGTTGTGCTTCCAGGGATCTAGAGCGTAGGCTCAACAGTCGTGGCACCAGGGCTTAGTTGCTCTGCGGCATGTGGGATCTTCCTGGCCCATGGATTGAATCTCCTGCATTGGCAGGAGGATTGTTTACCACTGAGCCATCAGGGAAGCCCCTGAATAATGTTTTCAAAACATAGGTCAGATCATAACACTCTTCTGTCCAAAACACTCTAATGACGCCCCAGGCTCACTCAAAGCAAAAGCCAAAACTCCTATGTAATCTCAGATCTAAGCTCTTATGTCTTCTGGTTTACTGTGTACCAGCCGTGCTAATTTTTTTGCTATTCCTAGAAAATGGCAGAGACACTGCCACCTCATGGCCTTTGCACTTAGCATTCCCTCTGCCTGGAACACTCTTTCCTCATTATGTACATGGCTTATTGTCAGATTTTTCAGGTCTTTGCTAAAATGCCCATGTCTCAATAGGGCCTTCTGTGATCATTTTCTTTGAAAATTTATTTGAAAACTTCCTACCTTCATTCTCTGCACCTTTTATCCCCTTTCCAGATCTAATTTTTATTCATACCATTTAATAACATCTGACATACCACGTATTTTACTTACTTATGTTTACTGTCTGTTTTCTCATTAGAATGTAAACTCCACAGTGATGGCTCTGTCTCTTTTGTTCACTGCTTTACTCCAGTTAGACCCAACTGAGCACTGAGCACATACACACATTACTCAAAGTGCATAAAGCAACCTCTGGCACAAACTAGATGTTCAGTAAATATTTATAGAATAACTAATTGACTGAATAAACAAATAGTGAGTAAAATATGTTGGGTAAGTGCAATAAACTATGTATTTCTCTTGGAGATTTATACATTTTATTAAAGGGTCTGAATTCCTACAGTGAAGTAAAACATCTGTTTAACCTAGCATTGCCTCAAATTTTTAAAATCACAGAACCTTTTGTTCAAGTAACAGCTAAGGAAGAGTCTTTGGGAAATCTTGCTCCAAGACAAATTGGTCAGGTACTTTCTTGGTGGTCCAGGGTTAAGAATACAACTTCCAAAGCAGGGTACATGGGTTTGATCCCAGGTTGGGGAACCAAGATCCCACATGCTGCCTGCACGCTTTGAGAAGAGCCCACGTGCCACAGCTAAGACCCAGCACAACCGAAATGAATAAATATTTTTTTAAAAAAGACAAATTGGTCAAAGTCAGGTTGATCAAAATAACTTGATTCAAATGATGACTTAATATTCTCCAGTTGTTCTACTACATCATGGTTTAAGAATCATCTGGCTGGACTTCCTTGGTGGCCCAGTGGTTAAGAAACCTGTCTACCAGTGCAGGGGACACAGGTTTGATCCCTGGTCCAGGAAGATCCTGTATGACATGGGTCAGCTAAGTCCATGCACCACAACTACTGAGTCTGCATGCTCTAGAGCCAAAGCTTTGCAACGAGAAAGCCACTGCAATGAGAAGCCCGAGCGCCAAAAATGCTAGAGAGTAGCCCCACTCACTGCAACTGGAGAAAGCCCACATGCAGCAACAAAGACCCAGCGCAGCCAGAACAAACAAATAAATATTTTAAAATTTGGCTTAGAGAAATTATTACTCTATATATTACTAAGTAATATATGTTAGTATTTATATATTATTGGGGCTTCCTTTGTGGCTCAGTGGTAAAGAGACTGCCTGCTGCAATGCAGGAGACCCGGGTTCGATCCCTGGGTCGGGAAGATCCCCTGGAGGACGGCATTCTCTAGTACTCTTGCCTAGGGAATCCCATGGACAGAGGAGCCTGGCAGGCTGCAGTCCATGGGGTCGCACAGTTGGACTCGACTAAAGCGACTAAGCAGTAGCAGCAGCATATGTTATTACTTAATATATTTTTTCTTAAGCTGCAAGCCCATGTATAAATTTGGCAGATTTTAAGGAACTTTTCTAATATGGTTAACCAAATTTCCTTGAATATTTTAACTTATATTTATAAATTTATTATATTTCTCCTCAGAACTTTGCTTGTATAATTACTAGAATCTTTTCAGTTACTTGAATGTCTTATAAATTTAATGCATTGCAGGCAGATTCTTTATGATCTGAGCCACCAGGGAAGCCCCTATAAATTTAATAAATTAAACTTAGAAGTATAGTGAGTCTTAGACACTCTTAAATGTTCAAATACTGTGTATAAAGTTAGCTATCAACTAACAGCAGCTCTATATTATTTAATCAATTACAGGCTAATGTGTTATGTAATAAAAATGTCAAGTTCTCTTAAACTATGAGAGTTTTCAAGTACCAAATATGTGCAGTTATTCCCAAATTTAATATAGTAGTCATCTGTGAGTTTGATTTTTCTCTCTATTTTAAAATCTTTCAAGATTTAAAAGTACTATTTCTATTCCTAATACTAAATTTTCCTGAGTCTCCCAAGGGAACAGTTATGCTATCCCAAGCAATTTGGGGTACACTTTCAGTTAAATTTGGGGTTCATTTTTTCAGAATATCCACCAGAAATTTTGTCTTAGATTTTCCAGAGCTATAGTCATTTCTCTAAAATTTCTCTAAGCCAAATTTTCAGGGTGGTTTTTCTCAAGATGAAGAGGGACAAGTAAAGCTTCCTTTAATAGTTGGTAGCCTTACAGAAGCTCTAAACACGTGCCTTCCAAATGGAGTGGTCTCTCCAGCATGTCCATTAGATTCAATTCATGTGGGTCAGATCTAGATTTTTTCTTTTTCTCATTGAAGTCCACAGCTCTCACTAAATTTGTGGACAACTTTCAACGTTGCTTCAATTTACATTTAAGTTACTCTCAAACTATGTAAATGTACATCTGTTAAATTGTCCATATCTCTTAGAGCTCTGTCTGATCTGTGACCATGTCTCAAAAGTCAAGCTAATACAAACTACAAAGATTTTTAAAGTGCTTCTACCAGATCTTAGGGCAATTACTATAGTTAATATTTGTTGTATTAAATGAATGAATGAGATTATTTAACTTTAGGTTTTTTCATATCAAGAATATATATCAAATGCTTTAAGTCACTGAGTTACCAATTAAGTACATGCTGTCAAAATCTGACAGTTATTTTTTCTAACTGCTAGCACTACCTATCACATCTTTGAATATTTTCTATTCTTCATAGAATTTGGCTTGTGTGAGATATGTCAGTCATGGTGACAATCACTGGATTCTCCTAATATCTATTTTTCATGTTTCTCAGTACTTTAAAAAATTTGGATATTCAGTTGACTTTTAGAAACATAGTCCCAGCACAGTATGAAGAACCCAATTAATAACTAAAATCATTTATTCAAACCTCAGTTCAATTCTAAAGAGTAATGAAACATAAGGCCTGCATAGCTCATTTCCTGTTGGTAGACAAGAGTAGGAACATCAGGACTTACAGATTGTTTTGTTGATCCCCCTACCCATACACAGTATAACCTGTGATCTAAGCAGGGGGGAAGCCATTTGTTCAGCCAAGAATGTGTTTATCTTGGATAGATAGAAAGATACATAGATGAGTTCAGTTCAGTTCAGTTGCTCAGTCGTGTCCGACTCTTTGGGACCCCATGGACTGCATCACACTAGGCTTCCCTGTCCATCACCAACTCCCAGAGCCTACTCAAACTCAAGTCCGTCACGTCAGTGATGCCATCCAACCATCTCATCCTCTGACGTCCCCTTCTCCTTCCGCCTTCAGTCTTTCCCAGCATCAGGGTCTTTTCCAATGAGTTGGTTCTTCACATCAAATACATAGATAGAAATAGTACCAATGATATTAGCACTTTCTCCTTTCTTGATATTTCTATTTCTGATTCTGTTACTGAAGCTTACTTTCTATTTCTAGTAAGTTGCTAGGAGGTGGAATTGAAAGCATGGCAATCACAGAAGCTTTTGGAGGTAGGTAAAAGCTTAATATTTTGTTATGTGAAAAATATATGTATGTATACACACCCATATCAATGGTAAATTGTATCTGTTTTGGAACTTAGGATGAAATATCAGTCATCATAATGCAAGATCTTTCTGGGCTACAATTAAAATATTTTCCGACATTAACAGATGAGTTTTATTGACATTTTTCATCTTTTTATCTCTGATTTCTTTAGAAGAAAATTTTTTCCTCTCATACCTTCAGAAAGTAGTTGTATAATGAGATTGATCTTATTAATATTTTTAAAACGTTTATATTTCAGGAACATAGAGAATAGATTTTCTTTTTGTTGTATCCTCTATTAAAAAAAAAGTTGGGAATTCCCTGGCAGTCCAGAGGTCAGGACTGCATTCTCACTGCTAGGGGCCAAGTTTGATCCCTGCTTGGGGAACTAAAATCCCACAGACCTTGTAGTGCAGCCAAAATAAAAGAAATCCATACATAACGATTTTATGTACTGCTCCTGACAGTTACCATTATTTTCAGTCCTCAGAGAACCAAATGTGTTTGTTTGTTTGTTCAGTGTTGATGTTTCTGCTGACTTGAAGAAACAAATCTTCGTTTATTTATGTTGACTCCCAGTCTTAATGGCTTGTTGTTTGGTCGCTAAATCATGTCCGATGCCAAGGACTATAACTCGCCAGGCTCCTCTGTCCATGGGAGTTCCCAGGCAAGAATACTGGAATGATTACCATTTCCTTCTCCAAGGGATCTTCCCCACCCAGGAATTGAACTGCATTTCCTGCATTGCAGGCAGATTCTTTACCACTGAGCCACCTGGGAGACCCATTTGAATGACTTAACCTTCTTGTGTGTTTATTGATAGTTGTGAACATATTTCTTGATTTTAATCTGTTGAAGTTCAGTAGGCCTAAATTGGTATAGTGGGGATGTTTTTCTCTAGAGAGTATTTGCTTTTGTTGGTAGCTAGGAGGTACCACCAATCTGAGGATCCCCCTGGGATTCCCCTTGAGGATCTCAGATCAGTGGGAAAACCCCAGGCTCTCTTTCCTGTGGTAGAGCCTTACACTTTCATTTACATGACTATTCCTAAGAAGAATTTGGGTTTTACTATCATCTAAAGGACAGTTCTGAAAAAGAAAACCTTTAAAAAGTTCTTTTTATTACTGGTATTCATATATGCAGAATCCATTCATGACACAGAGGTACTTGTGTGTGAGATTTGGAAAAAGAGTTGGAAAAGGAAACCATACCTTGAGACCGTATCTATTCTTTATGAAAGTAATCTAAAAATTAACTATTTTTTTTCTATGTTTCACAGAATTTCGAACTGGAAAAACCCAACTCTCTCATACCCTCTGTGGTAAGGCTATATAACAATGATAGCAATAATAATAATAATCATAGCCATTACTTAATAATCTACTTTGTGCCTGGTACTTTACATAATCTCATGTAATCTGAACAAATTTGCAAGTAATCTCAGAGAGATTACTTAACTCCCCACGGTTATACAAATACCAGAGCTGGTCTGTGAATGTGTGATACGTGAGGTCATGCTGTATGTACTGCACTCTGAACACCTGAATGGAAATAGGGAGGAGGTAAATGGATATATGAATGTATTGGTGGAGAGAGGTATTTATTCATGGCCTCGATTTTTCTTATTCTGTCTTTTGTATATCATGTTTATAAGAATATCACAGAATCTATTGAGGCTTTAGAATTCCTTACTTTCCATAGAGTAAGGGTGGGACTAAAAAAGACTTAAAATAAGCAAAAATATCTCCTTTTACATAAAGTCATTGTACTGCATTTCTTAGACCTAAGTAGAAGAAACATGGGTAAGTGTTTAATAAGGGGATTCTGGAATCCAAATAGCTCTACCCTTAATAGCTGCATGACCTTGGTTAAGTTGCTTCACCTTTCAGATTTTCCCCATCAGTAAAATAGGAATAATGATAGGGCCATTTTAGGATTGTTTTGAAAAATAAATGAAATAATGTGTGTACTTAATGTAATTCCTTAGTGTTAATACTACATATAAAGAAAATGCATTTAAAATTAATGCATATATTAATTGAAAAGTTACTTAAATGAGTTACATAGCATAAATTATATTTGTGATTATTTCTTATAATAAGAAAGTAATGTTTAAATTCCACCTCTGTTCCTTTTAAAAAATTTTGTGTTAAAATATGGTTGATTTACTATGTTGTGCCAATCTCTGCTGTATAGCCAAGTGACTCATTTATGCACATATATACCTTCTTTTCTATTATGGTTTATTGCAGAATGTTAAATATAGTTCCCTGTGCTATACATTAGGACCTTGTTATTCTACTTCTGTTCTTTAAGAGAACTAAATTTCATGAATATCTCCCATGGTGAAAGATACTGACATGCTTTGCTGAATTACTGTTATGCTAGAAGAATACTTATAAGTTTACCACTGGTTAGTAAGATAAAAATATAGCATGCTATTTAGAAACTACTATTTGCTAAATGGCTAGAGAGTTGCAACCAGAACAAATCCCATGTTAATTTGTATATCCATTTGTACAGAGTTCATTCACTCTTGTTAATATTAATTAATTTTTAATTGCTTCCTAGTGACAGCTCAACTTCCAGGAGCAGGTGGCTACTCAGGAGGAAAGATTATCTTCATCGATACAGAAAACACTTTGTAACCCTTTTATTTATGCAAATTGCTAACATAATAGTGTGATATAGTACTATTACTATAAAAGAGCATTTGTTTTGTTTGAAATATGTCATTTTTATAACTATCCTATAAACCAGTAATAATAAAAAAAAAGCAAGGGGAAACAGTTGCTAGTTGAGTTCTTCAAATCACTTTTTTCTTTGAAATATTTTTAAGAATTATTTATTTTTTTTATTGACATAGAGTTGATTTACAATGTCATGTTTCAGGTATACAGGAAAGTGACCCAGTTTTTTATTTATATATATATACATACACATATGTATATATGTATACATACATATATGTGTGCATATATACACACACACATACACACACATATGTATGTGTACACACACATATATTGTTGTGGTTGTTTAGTCACTAAGTCATGTCCGACTCTTGTGACCCCATGGTTTATAGCCCACCAGTCTCCTCTGCCCATGGATTTCCCAGGCAAGAATATTGGAGTGGCTTGCCATTTCCTTCTCCAGGGGATCTTCCCAGCCCAGGGATTGAACCTGCATCTCCCTCATTAGCAAGTGGATTCTTTACCACTGAGCCACCAGGGAAGCCCATATACATACATATGTATGCATGTGCGAGTGTTAATTGCTTGGTTGTGTCCGATTCTTTGTGACTCCATGAACTGTAGCCTGCCAGGCTCCTCTGTCCATGGAGTTCTCCAGGCAAGAATACTGGAGTGGGTAGCCATTCCCTTCTCCAGGGGATTTTCCCAACCCAGGGATTGAACCCAGGTCTCCCGCATTGCAGGCAGATTGTTTACTGTTTGAGCCACCAGGGAAGCCCATATATATATATATATGTTCTTTTTCAGATCCTTTCCCTTATAGGTTATTATAAAATAATGAATATAGTTCCCTGTGCTATACAGTAGGCAGTAGGTCCTTGTTGGTTATCTGTTCTATATAGCGTATATATTAATTCCAAACTCCTAATTTTTCCCTCCCCACCGCTTTTTTCTCTTTGGTAATCATGATTTTGTTTTCTATGATCAAATCACGTTTTATTTAAAAAGGTTTCACTTCTCCAAATGGGTTTGGTATAAAATTAACAAAACAAATACATGAGAGGAAATTATGTCTTATTTGTTTTTAATCCTCCTACTTCTCCAAAGATTTAGCTTAATAATTAGAAGATTGTTGACTCATTTAAAGTCATTGTCTCAAATAAAGGAAAGGTCTGAATTGAACAAAAATATGAAAGGAAAAAGAAAAGAACCTATTTGAATAGGTAACAAAAAGAATTGCAGTTTCGTTGAAGTATTAAGTTAGCTCGGAATGCAAGGCTGGAAATGTGGCTGTTAGACATGAAGGGCCTTAAAGCTGGATGATGGGTGTAAATTGGATACTTTTGTAGTATTCTAGGAAAATAATGAGATTTGATGACTATATTGATATACAAAGGGAAGAGAGGTTTGGGAAACCATTCATAGGTTTGTCTACATACTCAAAAGAGTAATGATTACAGAATTGGGAAGCTCATGTTTTAGAGGAAAAAATGATGTTTCATTTTAATATGTTGAATATGAGGTACAGAAGGACATTCATATGGCAGTTGAAAATGTTGGACTCAGCTTGATATGAATGAAACGGCCAGGGAAAAGCAAGAGAGTTTACAGGAAGAGAACTGAAAGCATAACTTTGGGGTGTGCCTATGTCTAGGAAGAGGGGATAGGCGAAGTAAGAGGATATCTGGTTGTGGACGCCAAGCATAAGGAAAATTTCAAAGAAGGATTGGGACTTCCCTTGTGGTCCAGTGGTTAAGAATCTGCCTTTCAAGGCAGAGGATGTGGGTTCCATCCCTGGTCAGGGAACTAAGATCCCCCATGTCCTGGGGCAACTAAGCCCTCGCCACAACAAAAGAACGTGCTCAGAGAACCTGCCTGCCACAACTAAGACCCCATGCAGCCAAAAAAAATTTTTTTTAAGAAGAAAAGGGGTTCCACACAGAGAGAGGGTGCAAACTGAGAAAGATCACTGAAATTTGCAATTAGGAGTCCAAGAGACCATTTACAGTAAAGAAAGATGATGGAAGCTTGTTGCAAATAAACAGTAAGGAATTGAGGTAGTGTGTAATTAACCAATAAATAGAAGAAGAAATAATGATAGTTTGAGGAGCTATCAGGTTCAGAAGACATTCCTTTTAACAATAGGATTGTAGCAAGAAGTTCTCAGCTGGAGTTCAGCTAGGTTCAGAAATAGTTGATTAAATATGGTTCTTTGAGAGGGAGGAATTGTTCTTGCAGAATATCTGCCACTGTTTGGCAATTTGGATTTTATCCAGAATGGTAGAAACAGCTAAGAACCAGGTCATGTGTAAGAGGGAATGCAGAGGAACAAGGACATGCAAGGGCCCAAGTGAAATGTTCTCATTCTTTCAGTGTCTCTTACATGTATACTGCTCTATCTTGATATTTTTCTTTGTATGTACTTATATTTGTATGTGCATAATTATATTTTACACTTACTTATGGCATAAATTATCCTTAAATCCTCCATAGTGCCTTGCACTGGTAATTGGTTAATAGGTTGATAATTCCATATGCTGATCTGCTAAAAAACATTTGTAAATTGGTTTGAACTTCCCTTTAGTGTAAGCCCAACTTTCCATTCCTGGGTATATAGTCACCTGGTTTTATAAAAACTGACAGTCACCTGGTTTTATAAAAAAAAAAATTTTTTTATCTCTTCCAATTCCTTGTCATCTTTGATTTGTCTACCAATAACATTTCAGTATACTCAGCAGCAAAAGAAGATTTTAGTGGCTGTCATTGTAGCTCTGAAGAAAGCATATATAGTGCTGTAGGATGACTGGGAAATACTAAAGACAGTTCAGCATTTACTGAACTAGTTCCAAGTGTCACAAATAAGATTATAAATGGTCCTTGCTTTATAGTTATTTATAAGCTTCCCTGGTAGCTCAGCTGGTAAAGAATCCACCTACAATGCAGGAGACCACAGTTTGAGCCCTGGGTAGGGAAGATCCCCTGGAGAAGGGATAAGCTGCCCACTCCTGTATTTTTTGGCTTCCCTGGTTGCTCAGGGAGAAGGCAATGGGGTCACAAAGAGTTGGACATGACTGAGCAACTAAGCACAGCACAGCATAGTATGATCAGTATTAACACAAATACTGTAAACAAAGTGAAATGAGTCCATGGACATGCGTTTTATCTTATGTCAGTTTAGAAGATATTGGGATCACCAGAGACCTAAAAACATGTTTGTTAATACTCTTTATAGTCTAGAATAGATATAAGTGATTATTAGCATCTTCCAGAATATCTTTCCAGGTACACCAAATTTGGCCCCACTATGAATTTACTAATTTCAGAATGCTATTACAACTCCTTTAGAAGTGGATTTTTAAACCCAAAACAAATGAAAAACTATATGACGATAATTCCTGTCTGTACCCTTAAAGTGACTTTTTTGATCCTTTGGTTCATGTAGTCAAATTTATCATTTATTGGCAACACGTGATTAGTGGTAAATTAAATTGTTGCGTGTTGAACAAGTGAGGAACATGGAGTGAATTAATTCACTTGGAAGTGACTTGAATTATAATTCAGTGATATTATCTTCATAGAAGAGATTTATTTTTATAGAACTGAGAACAAAAAAGGTTCACAAATCTTAATTTCTGGTTTTTCTCTTATAACTGATTTGCTGCCTATCCCGGAGTGATTTGCCTAATCTCTGTCAGTGTCCTCATTTGTAAAATGTAATATAGGCCATAACAACTCACTTCCAAGATTGTTGTTTAGATTAGATAATCTAATATTTAAATTCATTACTGTCTCATTATTTCTATCAGTGTGATTACTACCTAATTAAGGCATTTAGGAAAAATAAACTCTGATATAGATTTTAGGTGTTTATTAACATCCTCAGAATACCTATGCAGGTAGAGTGTTTTGCCTCTCTTTAATACACTTACTTAGAGCATTATTGTTTGTAGTTGTCTAAACTTTTTGGAATTGATTTATTGGATCCTTAATCTGGCATACTCCAGCCGTCCAGATCGCCTTCGGGACATTGCTGATCGCTTCAATGTAGACCATAATGCAGTCCTGGACAATGTACTTTATGCACGTGCATATACTAGTAAGAACTTCATGCAATTGGATGCTTAGGCTGTTTTAAGGTTGGCAGCATTGATGTATTATTTGAGTCATACTTATATTTTGACATTATTCTTTTTTCTTTTTGTTTTACCTTTCTCCAGATTTATTTAGTCAGTCCACAAATTTTATTATCTAAGTCCTTAGACATTGAAATGCTCTCAAATTATTTCTTATTCTATGTCTTTGAAATGGAGAGTAACATTCTTTTGGGTAAGGTATCATTTGGTATGTATGCTGCCATATTAAAGAAGTCATAATTAAGAAAATCCTTCAGGGGCTCTGTTTTGCCAAGTTCCAAGGACATACATGATCTTAGTCTCTGCTGCTTCTAACTTTGTAACATTTTCCCACTGCATTTCCCATCAGGTGAACATCAGATGGAGCTACTTGATTATGTAGCAGCAAAGTTCCATGAAGAAGCTGGCATCTTTAAGCTACTGGTACAAGCTTTTAAATACTGTTCAATCTGCAGCTATTTAGCATATTATCTTTCTTCTGTTGATTCCAATTCAAATTAACTTCCATTTCCAAATGCATTATTTATTTTTACATTAATTTTGCACAGATCATTGATTCAATAATGGCACTTTTCCGAGTCGATTTCAGTGGTCGTGGGGAGTTGGCTGAACGGCAGCAAAAACTGGCCCAGATGTTGTCACGACTCCAAAAAATCTCAGAAGGTAGATGTTTAAAATAAACGATGATATCAGAATAGCATCTGTGACTGTTTGCTGGATAAGCTTTGCAGAGAAGCTCAGAATAATGTCAGGAGACAATCTATTTTTAAAAAATAAAATTTCCTTCATGGGGATACAACAGTTTTTTAAAACCAGAAATACTGATTCTAAAACAATAAGGTACCTAAATAATATAACAACAATTTTGTGTTAACAGTGAAAAAACAGGAATGTAATCTTGTTTATCAGAGAAATTCATGGCACAGTGTTTTTCTAAACTCTGAAATCTAAACAATGAAATTTTAATATTTATATTGCCATTCTCTTAGTTTCTTAGTTTTATTTCTTGATGCAGAATATAATGTAGCTGTGTTTGTGACCAATCAAATGACTGCTGACCCAGGAGCAACTATGACGTAAGCCTCAATATTCTGCTTTTGTATTTCACAAAAGTTAGTATCAAAAGTGTTAGAGTGGAAAAAAAGTAGAGTGTAGAATATGAAATAATTCAAAAATGATCAGTCTTGATATGGGCATAAATCTGTCACAAATCATGTTTTTCACAGTGCATATTACTTCATAATTGCAAATATCACTTATTTGTTATCCAGATCTATTTGTCTCTAGTTCTTTATAAAACAAAGCAATATTTTAACTATTTTCAGAACTATTTGAGGTTCTTTTTTGTCTAAGGTTAAAGGATATTGGAGAACAATAAGAAAAAATCTTGGAAATAAAAACTTATATACAAGATACATGAATGATTTCTTATGGGGGGGGAGGTGACATTTATTATGTGCAGGAAGTGATGTGGAGACTTCTGTCACCAAAGATACATGAATGGCTTTTGTTGCACTGATAAGCTGTTAGCCTTAAAACAAAAAAGCAGGCTCTCTACAGGATATACATGGGATATATTTGTAAGAGGTCCTATGAGAGAAGTCTCCTATTTGAAGAAACAGAATTTCAGTCCATGCTAGTCCATGCTAGAAATATTCATTTTCTGTTGAAGTAATTGGGCACATAACATACATATTGATGCCTCTTCTTGAAAGATGGCAGTGAATAGAAAGATAAGGAGATTGAAAGTAGGCTAGCAAAACAGAATTCTAAGAAAGATTAGTTGCCACCATCAAAAATTTTGAGCAGTGTGTATCTGGATAAGAAATCAAAATAACCCTGAATCTATTTATTGCTTTTTCAAAGATCTTTTCAATGACTTTTTATTTATGATAATATTTAGCCAGAGAAAAGTTGAAAGACTAGCACAATGAATACACAAATAATATCATTTGCCTAGGTTCATTAGCTGTTAACATTTTGTCATATTTTTTCTATGTGTTTGTGTGTGTGCATGTGTATGTAAAATCTCTCTATATACTACATATGTCCACAGGCTTATATATGTATGTATATGTTTTGTGAACCCTTTGAGAGTTTTTTTCCCTGAATTATTGAGAATTATTTGCAGACATCACGACACTTCTTAAACTTCAGCATATCTCTTCTAAGAAGAACATTCCCGTACATAGCTACAACATAATTAGCACAGTCAGGGTGCTAATTTAATACTGGCATACTAGTTATCTAATATACAGTTATATTCGTGTCTCCAGTTGCTTCAATAATATCCTTTGTAGTTTGGCAGATTTCTTTTTTTGTTTTTGATTCAGGATCAATTAAGGAACATACATTCCATGTACTTGTCATGTCTCTTTAGTTTTCATTAATCAGAACAGCTCCTCAACCTTTGTTTGATTTTTGTGGATCATCAAGTCCATGCTCCCTGCACTGGGAGCATGTGACATTTTTGAAGAGCACAAGCCAATTGTTTTTCAGAATGTCTCTCAATGTGAAGTTTATTTTTTCTCATTATTTAAAATGTTAAACACATTTGGCAGGAGAACTATATACGTGATGTTATGACCTTTCCCATATATCATATCAAGAGGCACACTCTTTCAGTTTGTCCTATTATTACTGATACTCAGTTTGATCATGTGATTAAGATGGTGTTCACAAGATTTCTCCATTGTAAAAACCTTTCCCCCTTGGTAATTAATAAGTAATTTCTGGGGTGATACTTTGAAACTTATGTAAGTATTATGTTCTGCACCCATTGATTTTAGCATCCATTGGAGATTCTTTTGTTTTTAATTATTTATTGATTTATTGGTTGCACTGGGTCTTAGTTGAGGCACATAAGATCTTCCATCTTCATCGGGCATGTGAGCTCTTAGTTGCAACATATGGGATCTAGTTCCCTAATCAGAGCTCAAACCCAGGCTCCCTGAGTTAAGAGCACAGAGTCCTAATCACTGGACCACCAGAGAAGTCCCTATTGGAGATTCTTGTTTAAATCAATTATTATTGTGATGGCTGCAATACAAAGTTCTGTTACTTTAAGACTGAGTCAGTATGTCATTTGTTAGCAGATAAATCAATCATTGACATATATATTAGAAGATATTTGATATAATATTGTAAATTCTGAAAATTGTTCTGAAATGAATGTATCTCTCTTTAGGCATTTTCTGAACTCATCCTAAGAGTATTGCTGCATCTTTTGCAGTTTGATATAGCTCTTACTTTTCAGTACCATTTTATGAATATTTTCTACTTAATTACAAAAGAATCCAATGTGAAAAGTTTTAACTACACAAAAGTTTTAAAGCAAATTTTTTTTTTTGGTTTGGTCATTTTTTTTGGCCTCACCTTGAGGCATGCAGGGTCTTGGCTCCCTAACAAGGGACTGAACCTGAGCTTCCTGCAGTGGATGAGTGGAGTCCTAACCACTGGACCACCAGGAAAGTTCAAGCACATTAAAATGACTGGGGAGAGAGAAATCATTTATTCATTCAATATATATTTATTGAAAATATACTATGTAACAAGATTCTTGGAATTTACTAGTGAACAAAGGAGACTCTGTGCCTTCCCTCCATTAGGGAAAAAGAAAATACATGATGTCCATTTAATTTAAATTTTAAAGTCTTGATAGGTCATGCAAAGTCTGTAGTCCTTGAGTGGTTAGGGCAGACTCTGTTTTATATGGTGTCTTTCATACACAGGACATGAAGTACTTCACAAAAGAATAATTTTAAGCTGAAGAGAAATGGAAGATTTTTAAGGCTCACTTTAAAAAGAGAAAATGACTCATTGGCTCAGAGGGAGGAAGTAGGTTGCATTCAAATAAAACAGTACAAGTTAAGGAGCAATGTTCTTTCTTCAGGTGTTGGGAGGAACATTGAAGAGGCCAAAACTGTTGATCTAGAGTTAGAAGGCAAAAGAAGTCTGTGGAAATTAGGTCAAATAGGATTCTTTTTCTTATATTTGTAAAAAGTTTCGAAGAGAATCAAATCATTTTGAATTGACTCCAGTAAGAGAAAAATAGAGAGGTGACAGAAAGGAAATAATTGAAGAGTCAGAGAGCAGAGGAGATTTATAATGAAGGAAATGGGTAAAGAGCCAAAGAAAGTAACAAAGGCTAGTATTTTTGCTTGGTGAATCTGCTTTGAAATAGCATCTCTTCCACCTAACCATGTTATACAAGAACAAGTTTCACTATAATTAGTATATTCTAAAATGTATTAATATTATGACAATATAAATTAAATGCATGTGCTGTAAAGCACATAAATTGCCACAACTAAATTAAAAAAGAAATTTTAAACTAAAGAATTCCAAATGCTATTAGAATACTTTCCATGAAGAAAATATTTTTGTTTCTCAGTATTAAAGGAACCCCAAGCTGCAGCTCTCCTGGAGCCTGTCAGAGAAATATCATTATAATTGGTATGAGTCCCCAAGTACACTGACAATAATTGAGGCTTATATCCCATGCATTGTACTCGATGGCACATCAATTTAAAAAGGAACAAAATTATAGAGGCGAGGAGCTGCCATATGATACAGCAGAGCAGTAATTCCTAGATAAGGCTCACAGATACAGATTTTAGGACTAGAATGATCCAGTTGATAAAGGCCTGGAAATAGAGTCTCAGCCTGTGAAGCTCCATACCACAGCAAATAATCAGATAAGCAACAAATAAGACCTTGATGTCCCCCTACTTCATTTGTGTATTTGTTTCCCTAAAACAAAAAGTCATCTTAGAATGTTTGCAGTCCTGTAAGTGTGCAGTTTATTCTTTAAAGGATGTCACTTACTGATTCTACATCATTAGTATAAATGATTGAGGGCAGGAGGAGAAGGGGATGACAGGATGAGATGGTTGGATGGAATCACCAACTCAATGGACATGGGTTTGGGTGGACTCCAGGAGTTGGTGATGGACAGGGAGGCCTGGCGTGCTGCAGTTCATGGGGTTGCAAAGAGTCGGACACAACTGAGCAACTGAACAGAACTGAAGAGGCAATATGGCAGAGAAAAAAACATTAAGCCAAGATCACTAGCATGCTGACCTTGTGCAACATTTAAATTATTTGAATTTTACTTTCCTCTCCCTCAAAATTAAGAGCACTTATATTTATTGGTTGCTTACCATGTGCCAAATGCTTTCACTTATCATCTCATCTGATTCTCATATCACCCCTTCAGAGCTTGCCTGCTGTGCTGGGCTTAGTCCCTCAGTCGTGTCCGACTCTGCGACCCGGTGGACTGTGGCCCGCCAGGCTCCTCTGTCCATGGGGGTTCTCCAGGCACGAATACTGGAGTGGGTTGCCATGCCCTTCCCCAGGGGATCTTCCCAACCCAGGGTTCAAACCCAGGTCTCCCGCACTACAGACGGATTCTTTACTGTCTGAGTCACTGGGGAAGCCCAAGAATACTGGAGTGGGGAGCCCATCCCTTCTCCAGGGGATCTTCCCGACCCAGGAATTGAACTGGGGTCTCCTGCATTATAGGTGGATTCTTTTCTAGCTGAGCTACCAAGGAAGCCCTAGCTCGCCTCCTAGATCTCCCTATTCTGTGAAGCCAGTCTCAGAATATTGCCACATCTCTCCCCATCTCACCCCCCAAAACCCAGAATTCTGTCTTCAAAACTTTTTTAAACATGTAGATTTTTCTGCATAGTTTGAAAGGAAATGGTGGGGTTATTTAACAAAACATCTTACACATACTGTATTTTTTAAAGTCATCCTTTTTTTAAAATTTATTTTTATTAGTTGGAGGCTAATTACAATATTGTAGTGGTTTTTGTCATACATTGACATGAATCAGCCATGGATTTACATGTATTCCCCATGCCAATCCCCCCTCCCACCTCCCTCTCCACCCGCATCCTTTTTTTTTTTTTTGCCAAAATTCCGCTCTTTTGGCAGTACTCTTCTCTCTTTATCTTCCTCTAATCTCAAAACATCCTCCTCACTTTCGGACATGTTCACTCAGTCTCTCAATGGACCCCTTCTAAAAAATTCCATCTTTAAGCTTGCTCCTTAGCAAGTCAAAAGTACCAGGAGTACCAGTTTTCTCTCACGTTCGCCCTTGCCCGGACCCCTCAAGGTCTCCACTCCAGCCAGTATTTGAGGTAGACACTATTGTTATTCCTAATTTATAAATGAGGAAACCGAGGCTTAGAGTGCCTACTTGGTCAATCACACAGTTAAAAAAACAGGAGCCAGAAGTTAAACTTAGGTATCTAACTGCAACGCTGATGCTCTTTTAGCCTCACTGTGCTATTTTTCTTATTTCATCCCAGAAAAATACCAGCTGCCCTACCATCACCATAATCTTATGCTCCTGCATCCTGATTTGAAGTTGAAAGATCAGGAGATTCTCTGTTTTGCCGTCAACGACATAACATGCTGTATCCTGTTCAACCAGAACAGGATAAATGAAACAATTTTTCTTGGCCTCTCTATTCCTAATATCTACCCCTGTCTCTTCCTCCTTCTCATCATACTCCCCCATCCCCTGAGAAAGGGAGAAAAGAAGAAAAGATAATATAGAAGGGGAAATAAGAGAATAGGCTAAAGGAAGGATGTGGGTGGCTTTCTGAAGCTGTTTTCTCTTGGTCAGAAATAGAAGTAAATTAAAGCCCTCTAAATGAATGTGGAATGGTATTATACCTTCTTGCACTTTACCTCAAGACATGTTTATAATTGCTAGAACACTCAAGAAGTTCAAAGAAACTTGAAAAATTTCTTGATTTCAGATTTGATCACTCTTTTCAGTGAGGTGTAAATCAAGAAATTTTTCTGGGATCCAAAATAACCGCGGATGGTGATTGCAGCCGTGAAATTAAAAGATGCTTGCTCCTTGGAAGGAAAGCTATGACCAACCTAGACAGCATATTAAAAAGCAGAGACCTTTGCCAACAAAGGTCCATCTAGTCAAGGCTATGGTTTTTCCAGGGGTCATGTATGGATGTGAGAGTTGGACTATAAACAAAGCTGAGCGCCAAAGAATTGATGCTTTTGAACTGTGGTGTTGGAGAAGACTCTTGAGAGTCCCTTGGACTGCAAGGAGATCCAACCATTCCATCCTAAAGGAGATCAGTCCTGGGTGTTCATTGGAGGGACTGATGTTGAAGCTGAAACTCCAATACTTGGCCACCTGATGCGAAGAGCTGACTCATTTGAAAAGACCCTGATGCTGAGAAAGATTGAGTGCAGGAGAAGGGAACGACAAAGGATGAGATGGCTGGATGGCATCACTGGCACAATGGACGTGGGTTTGGGTGGACTCCAGGAGTTGGTGATGGACAGAGAGGCCTGGCATGCTGTGGTTCATGGGGTCGCAAAGAGACATGACTGAGTGACTGAACTGAACTGAACTGAAAGAGTGACTCTTAACGGAATCATTTAGTTAAATAATAATAGTCTCCATTTACTGAGTATCTTTTGTGTGCCGAGATTATTGCTTTATAAATGATCTGGCACTATTCCTGGCATTTAGTAGGCTAGGCTCCTCATGAGTTGTCTTGAGTCTTGAGTACGTCTTGAATCTTCACAACCGCACTAAAAAGTAAGAGGCTTTTTTGGTTCCCATTTTACAGTTGAAGAAACAGATTCATAAAGGTAAATAATTAGCCCAAGGTAACATAGATAGTGAGTCAGGATTAGGAAAGCAGATAATAATTTCAGTTACTGGGTTACTGCCTTATCTAAATTATTTCATTTTATTCTTACAACTACTGTACCAGTTATGTACAGTTATTATTCTCCATTTAAAATCAAGAAACAGACATTGAGAATGAATAACAAGTTTCCTGAGGTCATATGGCTAGCTGGTAAGCCAAAATTTGAACTAACTCTAAATCTCTTATGCCACATAGAATATTAAAGCTGTATATGCCAGGGGAAAGGTTAGCATGCTGTCGTTTGATAAGCTTTGGAAGGATATGTCCATCACCCTGTTGAGTTGACCAGAGTTCAGGGCCCTTACCCTTACAGAGGATTGATTTTTTCATCCACTAAGAACAAATCCATTTCTTAGGGGCAGACTCACATTAATCAAACTTATGAGACTCAGTGAAAGATCAGAGGGCCAGTTTACTGATAAAGAAATATGTAACTTCATTTGAGGTTCTTATGACCAGGGTGTTCTCTCTTTGTGGGCAGACCTACAGACCTTGGATTCTGTAGGCAGAATCCAAATTTTAATCCAAAATTATTTACTAAATATGGAATCCCAGCAAAGGGAAATAATTAGATGAGCTAGAAGAGTGTCTGCCACATAGTAAGGACTCAATAAATCTTGGTTGTTACTATTATTGTTAATACCTGTCCACACCAGAGCAGGAAGGAACTATGAATCGCCTAAACTTACATGAAAATTTTTGTATGTGTACATTTGTGCATTTTTCTGGGCAAGAGTTTATATCTTTTATTAAATTATTAAAGTGTTGGTAACTTACAAGAAAAGTCAAGAGCCATAAATTCCCCATGAAATTCTACACAGAAACCTGAACACTTTGATGGAACAAGTAAAATTTGAATGGGTTTGATATTCTCTAGAGCTAAGGGTATTTATTGTGCTGTGTTGTACTTTGTTTTAATTAAGTATAACCTCTTACATTATGAGTTATTTTTAGGACATTTTATCCCCATGTTATCTTTCCTATGTGATTTCTTAGCACTTTTGCAGATCGAATCATTTATTTCCCATTTAGTTAATTCAAAATCATCTCTCTTTGGAAATGAGTGTTCATCCCCTAGTAAGTGTATCTATCTCTCAAGAGTGTCAGTATTTGTAACGACCTTGTAATCATAATTTATTTTTGATTCCATATGATCATAGTAAGAGCTTATCTTTCCTGTATCCTATGATGTCAGTAAATATATTTCTGAGACTCTTCTCAAATTCAGAACAGTACAACATTGAAGGCTTCCAGTGTACAGTTAATTAGCAAGAAAGAGGTTCTCAATCTGCTCTCATTTACATCACAGCATCATGCAGAAGGGTTGGGAATTTCTTATTTCTTATTTATCCCTTGCCATTCTCCATAGAAAAGTTGCCTTGTAATTGCAGGTATTTTTGTATATAGTCCATATGATGAAACCTGAAAAGTGTTCTGTTAATTCAGTTTTCAAGCAGACCCCAAAAAACCCATTGGGGGACACATTCTGGCTCATGCTTCAACAACAAGAATAAGTTTGCGAAAAGGAAGAGGAGAGCTGAGAATTGCCAAGATTTATGACAGGTAAATATTTTTTATTCTTAATCAGATTCTTGTGCATATGATGTTACATAGAATTACTTCTCCCGAGAGGCTATAATTATTCCAAGGGCAGACCCTACATGCTTGAATTTCCTTCTCAAAAAGTATTAAATTCATTGGGAAGTCCCTGATATGTGCTAGGTTCTAGGGATTCGGGGATTTTGTTGACAAATAGGCTTGGTCCCTGACCTTCCAAATGTACAGTAAAACTAGATAATGAAATAATTGATTTCCACTTTAAGTGAGGTAAATGCAGGAAAAGTACAGCATGTTATAGGGATGTTCTTTCTACTAGTTTTCTTTTCTGGTTTCAATTTAAACAGCGCTTCCTCAAGGAACATTTCCCTGACCCTTACAGTCTAAACTAATACTCTATGTTACACCTTATATTCTTTCACAGTACTTACTTATTTAATTAATAGTTACAAGCTTAGATTTTACCAGTAGTAAACCTAAAGCGATTTGAATTGATGGGGCATTGCTCACCCCTTCCTGAGCATTGCTGCTGACCCTTCTCTGTGGACCTCCCCCATTTTTGCCTGTCTGTTGTGTTATCTCTGAAGGGTTGGCAGGGGAGGGGACCTTTACCCTTCCTGCAACTGTTCCTCAGTAGACATACCTTTGACTGGGTCTGGAAAGGCTGAGCTGGAAGAAGCAGCCCTTCGTTCTGAGCACTTGTTTCAGACCTGAGGCTGGTGGGCATGGGGGTGCTGTTGGAGCTGGGCTTCAACACCTAGGATGCTGTTGCCCAGCTGGTAGGGTTGCTGGGCTTCAGGACTCCAGCTCCAGCTCTTGCCCCTCTCTGACCTGAGAGAGCTCCTTGATCCCCTGAAGCCAATAAACAGAATAAGAAAACAATCTTTAGAGTGAGAAAGCTAATATCTCGGCCATTTAGAGATGAACTGCAAAACAAGAGCATGGCATGGGGCTGGGACTAAAGATTTTTATGGAGCTTTTCAAGATTTGCAAGTATGTAGCATGTATGGACTGTGAAGAAAGCTGAGTGCTGAAAAATTGATGCTTTTGAACTGTGGTGTTGGAGAAGACTCTTGAGAGTCCCTTGGACTGCAAGGAGATCCAACCAGTCCATTCTAAAGGAGATCAGTCTTGAGTGTTCATTGGAAGGACTGACGCTGAAGCTGAAACTCCAATACTTTGGCCACCTCATGCAAAGAGTTGACTCATTGGAAAGGACCCTGATGCTGGGAGGGATTGGGGGCAGGAGGAGAAGGGGACGACAGAGGATGAGATGGCTGGATGGCATCACCGACTCTATGGACATGGGTTTGAGTAAACTCCGGGAGTTGGTGATGGACAGGGAGGCCTGGAGTGCTGCGATTCTTGGGTTCGCAAAGAGTCAGACACGACTAAGCAACTGAACAGAACTGAACTGAGCATGTATGGAGAGTGAAAGTGAGTGTGACCCCGTGGACTGTAGCCCACCAGGCTCCTCCCTCCATGGGATTCTCCAGGCAAGAATACTGGAGTGGGTTGCCATTTCCTTCTCCAGGGGATCTTCCCAACCCAGGGATCAAACCTGAGTTTCCCGAATTGCAGGCAGTTGCTTTAACCTTTCAGCCACCAGCGAAGAAGCCCTGAGAGTGGGACTGTAAAGAAAGCTGAGCGCCAAAGAATTGATGCTTTGAACTGTAATGTTGGAGAAGACTCTTGAGAGTCCCTTGGACTACAAGGAGATCCAACCAGTCAATCCTAAAGGAGATCAGTCCCGGGTGTTCATTGGAGGGACTGATGTTGAAGCTGAAACTCCAATACTTGGCCACCTGATGCGGAGAGCTGACTCATTTGAAAAGACCCTGATGCTGGGAAAGATTGAGGGCAGGAGGAGAAGGGGACGACGAAGGTTGAGATGGTTGGAGGGCATCACCGACTCAATGGACATGGGTTTGGGTGGACTCCAGGAGTTGGTGATGGACAGAGAGGCCTGGCTTGCTGTGGTTCATGGGGTCGCAAAGAGTCGGACATGACTGAGCGACTGAACTGAACTGAGCATGGAAGGAGACTGGTGCTTTTGTTGTTAAAAAAGCAATAGCCTATCATTTCCTGAAGTTTTTGCACAGTACATCTTACCCCTCTCCTGTCTCTCCCTGCAAGGATGGTGCCGGAATGTTCTGGAGGGTGATGTCACCCCCAGCTTCTCCTATGGAGACTGAAGCCATTGGGGTTCATGTAACAATCTTTGTAACCCCATGGACTGTAGCACCCCAGGCTTCTCTGTCTTCCACTATCTCCTGGAGTTTGCTCAAATTCATGTCCACTGAGTCATACTCATGTCCATTGCTATCTAACCATCTCATCCTCTGCCACCGCCTTGTCCTTTTGTCTTCAATCTTTCCCAGTATCAGGGTCTTTTCCAATGAGTCAGCTCTTTACATGTATGTACATATGTACATGCATGTATTTTATATATATATATATATATATATATATATATATATATATATATATATATATCATGGGCTTCCCTGATAACTCAATTGGAAAAGAATCTGCCTGTAATGCAAGAGACCCCGGTTCGATTCCTAGGTCGGGGAGATCCCCTGGAGAAGGGAAAGGCTACCTACTCCAGTATTCTTGGGCTTCCCTGTTGGCTCTGCTGGTAAAGAATCTGCCTGCAATGTGGGAGACCTGGGTTCGATCGCTGGCTTGGAAAGATCCCTTGGAGAAGGGAAAGGCTACCCACTCCAGTGTTCTGGCCTCAAAATTCCATGGACTGTTATAGTCCATGGAGTTGCAAAGAGTTGGACACAACTGAGTGACTTTTACTTTCATGTATATAATAAATAAACACATGGAAATATATGAATAAACTTTGACAAGGTAATTGATGTACATGGTAAAAAAAAATCAATAAAATCAAACAGTACAAGAAAACAGTTACGAGTTTAGTGGGTTTTTACAGAGAAACGTATTACACTTCATCTGTTCTCCATTCTGGGGACAGAGCAGTGAACCAAACAAAAAGACCAGGCTCTGCCGTTGTGAAGCTTCCATTCCACTGGTAATGATTTATGTAACTCACATCATCCCCACTAGACAGGAAATACCCTGAGGACGGGACACTGTTCTCTCGCCTCCCACTGTGTTCTTAGTGCCTCAGACGAAACAGAGGCCAATATTTGTGACTGACTGATGAGCCAGTCTTGGGCGACAAGGTAAAGATCTGTAATAACTCTTAACCCTAGGGAGGAAAAAAATCAGCCAAAAGAAATCACATGAGCTCTTAATGTGGTTTTGACTATGAATCATAGTACTTATTATGTATTGTAAGTATAAATATTAAATAATCAGTTCCCTTATCTGGGGTTTTTTTTTTTTTTTTTTGGCTGCACTGTGTCTTCATGGCTGCACACGGGCTTTCTCTAGTTGGAGCAAGCAGGGGCCACTTTTCGTTATGGTTCTCTGGCTTCTCATTGTGGTGTCCTCCCTTGTAGTGGAGCATAGCCTCTAGGGCACTCGGGCTTCAGGAGTTGGGGTTCATAGGCCCTAGAGTGTGGGCTCAGAAGTTGTGGTGCACAGGCTTAGTTGCTCTGTGGCATGAATATTCCCAGATCAGGGATTGAATTCTTGTCCCCTGTATTGGCAGGTGGATTTTTATCCACTCTACCACCAGGGAAGTCCCTCTATCTGTTTTTTATTCAGACCATTTCATCACTTTTCATCACTGGTACTCGTAGAGTATGATACATATGCAAGTGCCATGTTTTGTGGAGCTTCAGCAATCTCTAGAAATTTGTTACAAATGAACTTTGTTGAATTAAGTAGAGAGTAGGATTGTTTCATCTTTTTACTCAAATTTCTTACTCCTATATCTTGGACAGATTGCTGTGCTTAGAACTTTCCCAAGCATTTTTCACTCTGAATTGTAATCAGCCAATTACATGTACATTGCCCTCACTACAATGATTGAGTCTGGTTCACTAATGTCCCAAGCACTTAGCATGGTACTTGGCATCTAGTAAGAGCTCAGTAACTATTTGTTGAATTAACAAATGAATGAACTCCGTCTACATGTTCAATCATTTGTATATTTAATCAAGTCTTCTAAACTTTTAGGAACAAATAACCCCTGCAGTTTTTACAGTCCTAAGAGAACACTCGCGTTCTGAAGACTCAACAAAGGATAATTAAAATTATCATAGAAGTTAATTATGTCAAATATCCATAAATTTGAGTAAAAATAGCAAAACCAGATCAGAACTTAAAATGTCAAAATAGTTTTCTGTACAGCTTGTACTTCCTTTTTTATTGTTCCTAAAGATTTCTCACAAAGAATTCTCCTTGACTAGAAAAAACATTTTGATAGAAAAGATCATGAAGCTAAAAATGATAGCAATGCTAGCTAACACTTACTGAGTGGGTTCTATGTGGTAGGCCTTGTGCCAAATGGAGATTATTATCCACATTTACACATGACGAAGGGCTTCCCTTATAGCTCAGTGGTAAAGAACCAGCCTGCCAATGCAGGAGACACAGGTTTGATCCCTGGGTTGGGAAGGTCCCCTGGAGAAAGAAATGGCAACCCACTCCCAATATTCTTGCCTGTGAAATCCCATGGACAGAGAAGCCTGGCTAGCTACAGTCCATGGGTTCCCAAAAGAGTTGGACACAGAGACTAAACAACAATAACAACACATGAGAAAACCAAGGTCCCAGGTAGTTACGTTACCACTGCCCTTCTAAAGTCTATTTTAAACATAGACACCAGAATGATCCTTTATAACACCAAGTCAGGTCATATCTATCCTCTGTTTAACACCCTCCAATGGCTCCCCATCTTGAGTCAGAATAAAAACCCATCTCTACACTGCTTTACAGAGCACTGCATGAATGGCCCTATTCTTAGTTCATGCTAGAAATGGAATACCCCATTTCTGCCTCACAGGCCTCTGTGAAGTCCTTTATAATCTATGAAATCTTTCCTGAGTAACCTAGCCTGCATAACTTCTTCTTTCCTTAGAGTTCTACAACATATACTGACTTTAAGGGACTTAGCTTACTTTGCATATTTGTTATGTCATAGTTCACCTTTTAGGCTTCTTGAGATTAATGCATACATCCATTCTAAGTCACTTCAGTCATGTCCAACTCTTTGCAACCCCATGGACTGTAGCCTGCCAGGCTCCTCTGTCCTTGAGATTCTCCAGGCAGGAATACTAGAGTGGATTACCATTTCCTTCTCCATCTTGAGAGTAAAGGCTGCCTCAATTTTATAAATTCTGTGGGGTCTAGTACTTGCTAAAGTCTGATTTTCAAAAAGAGTTAAAAAAATTAAAAACATCACTTTGTGTAAATCAATGTAAGATGGACATGTGTTAAAGATTTTCTTCATCTCAATTAATGAAGAATCCACTGATTTAAAGGATAATTTGAGGAACAGAGATTTATGTAGTTGGTCAGTTCAATGAAGAAATAAATTTGCTAATAGATGCAAAACTGGTTAATATCCGACCAGGCAATAAGTTATAACATTTGAAGTTGCCTTTTCTACTGGAGAGAAACCTATTGTTTCTCTACACAGTGAAATTCATTTCCATTGTTACAGACTGGCATCATAAGAATAATTTGCACTGCTATCGGTTTTCTACAAATAAATCTCTACTCCTATAGAGTTGTAAAATAAATTAAAATGTAAAATTTAAAAGAGCATGTAATGAGGGGTAAAAAAATAAAGAGCTTGTAATCATGACTCATACAAATATAAAATGTCAAAGATCATATTTAACTCATGCAGGAACCAGTAAGATTTTATAACCAAATCAAAGGAAAAATCAAATTAACACACAGATGTAGTCATATAAGTAATGCTGAAATGAATTCTAAATTGATAAAAATGGGTCAGTATCCATAGGACAATAATCAATTGCATTCCTCTTCACGTAATTTACATTTCTGTGGACAAGAATAATTTGTCTTACAATTTTCTGCAGCTCATGGAGTTGTAAAATAGCTCAAAGACAACGAAAACCATGGAATCCTCATAGATTTGTATAACCTGTAAGGATGTGTTAGGCAACCTGTTTTTCCACTGAATACTCAGTAATCTTTTAGTTCATTTCAAAGTCTTTCACGGTTTTCCCCTATATTAGTCATGGAAAGATGCACACCCATTTATTTTATTATTTTTTAAAATTTTTATTGAAGTATAGGTGATTTACAGTATTACATTAATTTCTGCTGTAAAAGTGATTCTGGTATACATATATATGTATTCTTTTTCATATTCATTTCCATCATAGTTCATCACAGGATACTGAATATAGTTCCTGTGCTTTGAGGAAGAACTTTGTTGTTTATCCATTTTAGAGATAGTAGTTTGCGTCTGTTAATCCCAAACTCTCAATCCTTCCCTTCCCCACCCTGCCTTGGTAGCCACAAGTCTGTTCTCTCTATCTGTGGGTCTGTTTTGATTCATATGTATGTTCATTTGTGTCTTATTTTAGTTTCCACATATAAGTGATATCATGGTACTTACTTGTCTTTCTCTTTTTGATTTACTTTTGCTTAGTATGATAATCTCTAAATCTACCCATGTTGCTGCAAATAGCATTATTTTATTTTTTTATGTGAGTAATATTCCATTGTGTGTATATATATGACATAAACATATATATACACATACATACATTCATTTGTCAATAGACATTGGGTTGTTTCCATGTCTAGACTATCATTAATAATGCTGCCATGAACATAGAGGTGCATGTCTCTTTTTGAATTATGGTATTGTCTGGGTATATGCCTGGGATTGGGATTACAGGAACATATGGCAACTCTGCTTTTAGTTTTTCAAGGAACCTCCAAAAAAAAAACAAGGAACCTTCATACTGTTTTCCATAGTGGCTGTACCAATTTACATTCCCACCAACAATGTAGGAGGGTACCCTTTTCTCCAAATCCCCTCCAGCATTTGTTTTTTGTAGACTTTTTTATGATGGACATTTCAACCACTGTGAGGTGGTACCTCAATGTAGTTTTGATTTGCATTTCTTTGATAATTAGCGATGATAAGCATCTTTTCATGTGCCTATTGGCCGCCTATATGCTTTCTTTGGAGAAATGTCTATTTAGGGCTTCTGCCCATTTTTCAGTTGGGTTGTTTTTTTGTTACTGAGCTGTATGAGGTACATACTATTTAGAATCAGTAAACCCCTAAAGGTCTTCTGCACCATGCCTGATAGTGCACTGTAAGAACACCCAGTTATCCCTGTTGCCTGTTTCCAAGTTTAGGGTCATTTTTCTTGACATCCAGAACCTTAGAAGTTATTATATAGAAGCTATTCTATAAATGTTTGTGACAGTTGATAATACTTGTAGATAAATTCTGCAGTCCACATTTAGCTGTACCAACTCACATGTCTCAGGAGACTCAGACTAATAGGAATATGATGCCTGTGACATGAATACAGTATTTATAGCAATAGAGCTTTTTATAAACTTCTGTTCCCTTGTATTCTGTTAGCCCTGAGATGCCTGAAAATGAAGCCACCTTCGCAATAACTGCTGGAGGAATTGGGGATGCCAAGGAGTAGGTGGCGAATTGATGCAGATTGCTTCTTAGTGCTTATTAGGAGCTGAAGAAATGGAAAAGCAGTCTTAAATTTCAGATCTTGAAGTAAGAGTTTGGTTTTTTTTCATGTGTTACTAATGGAAAGTCAGTGAAAGAGATTTAACTCATATTTATTTTAAAAGTCTCTGATTTATAATAACTATACATTATATGTCAGTTTAGGAATATAAATATGTATATGAATGAATAAACGTTTTGAGAATTAGTTAGGGAGGGATTACCTCACTTTAGCTTTCCAAAGTGAGCCACTAAGCAGATGGAACGTCTAAGAGCTCAGAAATGTCCCCTTCTCCTGCAACTTCCCCATGAACACAGAAGTGAATAAACTTACAAAGGAGGGAGGAATGTTTACAGGACACACGCAAAGAAGCTTTTTTATTTATGATATCAAACTGTACATTCACAATTTCAGCAACAGAAATGAAACATTAAATTAAGCTAAATTTTTAAATCATTTGACTTTTAGACAAATAGAAATTATTTTTTTTAAATGTACTTCTTATTGGGAAGATAAAAGCAAAGGTAATTAGAATCTTTACAATTTTAGGTGGTCAAGATAGCGTGACTTTTATATTTTAAGTTTTGGGTAGAGAATTCAAAATCTTTTTTAAGATACTAAGGTTAATTGAAATGTAAAATTTTTGTATACTAATTTTATAAATGTGTAAAAATATTGTTTTTTCTAAGTGTTAAAAATAAAATATGGTTTTCAAAATGTATGTATAATAAAAATATTTATAAATTAAAACAGTAATAATATTTACACTGACAATCTTTATAGGTCTCAGAAAGGTTTAATTTCTTACGTTGCATCCACTTGTATGAGAATTCAAATGCTAAAAGTACCATTTGTTACAAAAGGTTTCTGATTATCCATTAAATCTTTCACTCACCAAGTGAATGTTAAGTCTAAACAATCTACAAAAGAAGTATGGTTCCTGCCCTCAAAAGAATGTATATACTAGTTAAAAGAAACTCCTAATGTTTATGAAAGAATGAGAGAGCAAATAATTAAAAAATACTTTGGATTGTGTGATTCCAGAAGTGGGGGAGGAACAGTTAAACTGTGGGATAGCATATGCAGAGGTATAAAAGCTAGGATTTAGGAACAGAGACCAACTTGGCAAGCAGAAATTGTTTATAGTGTGAAGTACTGGGAAGTAAGAACTTTTTAATTTTACTATTATTTTTAAATCAGAAGCTGCTCCTCTGAATAAGCATAAGTTAAAGTCATTTTATATTTTTGCAAAGTCACTTTTTGGCCTTTTTTTTGGTGTGCAAATATAAATGCATACTTTTTTCCTGAGGAGGGGAAGGTTTTACTACTTGATAAAAACTGAGCATTTCCAAGAGATTCCTTGGTATGCCAATCCTTGGAGAGGGAATGTACTACTCTGTTTAGGAGACCAGAGTTCTCTTAGTAGGACAGGAAATAAAGCTCTTAAGATTTGAAATTCAGAATTTCCTGAGTTAAGCTGAGTACCCCCAGAAAAGAAGAATTTACCTATTGGTATAGAGGTGGAAACACAAGGACTACGGTTCTGTGGGAAAGGCTGGTTTCAATGTGTCACATGGCTAAGGCTGGAAACCTCTCTGGATCCAACCACTCCTCTGTGTCCTCCTTTAGAGAACAGTAGCTAAGCATGTGAATGTGCACTAAAAATAAAAAGCCTATAACCTTGGGGCCCAACTTTGGGAAAGCATAGCAGATTGTGCAGTACCCACTGAACTTTTCTAGGCCAGGTTCTATTTGTCACCAGTGACCAAAGTATCAAGTCTTTCCAGTCTTCCTCCTCCATCTGACTGTAGAAATAGCTTTGGCTTCTTATTCCAAGGGGCAGAGAGAGACTCAAAAAAGAGATGCTACTGATCAGGACTATTTTGACTGCAAGCCACAGAAACTCAAACTAGCAAATGGAAGACATGAATTCATTGGCTCAAGAGACTGAGAAGTCCAGAAGTAGAGCTGATGACCTTAGCCACCCACGGCTGAAGCCAAGATGTCTAACAGAATCATCAGAACATTTCTCTCTGCCTCCGTCTCCTGCTTTGCTCCTTTTCATGCTGCTATTTGTTCTTTCTCAGACTCTTCCCACGGAGTAAGTAGCCAAAATGCTGCTTGTAGCTCTAGACTTACATCCCACTAGAAAAGGCATGCCTTTTTCCTCCATAGATTATTCATTCTGTGGAAACAAGCAAAAATCACCAAATGAGAACAGAGGCTATTTATTCAGAGTTGCTACAGCAAGAGTCTGTGACCTTAATTTGCTTTTGGTAGAGAGTCAAAGGCAGGCAGAGGAATGGGAAGGCTTTATAGAGGAAAGAAGGAAAGGCTTCAGGTACGCTCTGATTGGAGGCTGTTGGCATGGAGAGTTGGAAGATTAATTTGATAGAGATGTGGAAAACAGATAAGGGAAATAATACTGGCATCAGGGAGCTAATTTAGGAAACAGTTATGATAAATCAATTGTTAGGTGATAAAGAATGGGCCTGGGGTGGTAGCAATGAAATAGATAGACAGTTCAAAAAGGTAGTGAAGATTTGGTGTGAGACTGAATATAAAAAGAGGAAGAGAAGGCAGAGTCACAGGTGACTTGACAAAGTTCTTTAACCTATGAGAGGAGATTATGTTTGTATCATGAATACAAATGAAGAAGTGTCAAATAAAGACCAGGGACTTTACCTGGGAGGGTAAGTTTCTATTAGTTTGCTAAGGCTGCCATAATAAAGCACCACAAACTTAGATGGCTTCAGTTCAGTCGCTTAGTCGTGTCTGGCTCTTTGTGACCCCATGAACTGCAGCACACCAGGGCTCCCTGTTCATGACCAACTCCCAGAGTCCACCCAAACCCATGTCCATTGAGTCGGTGATGCCCTCCAACCATCTCATTCTCTGTCGTCCCCTTCTCCTCCTGCCCCCAATCTTTCCCAGCATCAGGGTCTTTTCCAATGAGTCAGCTCTCTGTATCAGGTGGCCAAAGTATTGGAGTTTCAGCTTCAACATCAGTCCTTCCAGTGGACACCCAGGACTGATCTCCTTTAGGATGGACTGGATCTCGTTGCAGTCCAAGGGACTCTCAAAAGTCTTCTCCAACACCACAGTTCAAAAGCATCGATTCTTCGGCACTCAGCTTTCTTTATAGTCCAACTCTCACATCCATACATGACTACTGGAAAAACCATAGCCTTGACTAGACGGACCTTTGTTGGCAAAGTAATGTCTCTGCTTTTTAATATGCTGTCTAGGTTGGTCATAACTTTCCTTCCAGGGAGCAAGCATCTTTTAATTTCATGGCTGCAATCACCATCCGCAGTGATTTTGGAGCCCAGAAAAACAGTCAGCCACTGTTTGCACTATTTCCCCATCTATTTGTCATGAAGTGATGGGACCAGATGCCATGATCTTAATTTTCTGAATGTTGAAGCTTTAAGCCAACTTTTTCATTCTCCTCCTTCACTTTCATCAAGAGACTCTAGTTCTTCTTCACTTTCTGCCATAAGGGTGGTGTCATCTGCATATCTGAGGTTATTGATATTTCTCCCAGCAATCTTGATTCCAGCTTGTGGAATTCCAGCTTCCTTCAGCCAGCATTTCTCATGATGTACTCTGTATATAAGTTAAATAAGCAGGGTGACAATATACAGCCTTGACGTACTCCTTTTCCTATTTGGAACCAGTCTGTTGTTCCATGGCTTAAACAACAGAAATTATTGTTTTTGAACTTTGTATTTTGTATTACAGTATAGCTGATTAACAATGCTGTGATGGTTTCAGGTGAACAGTGAAGGGACTCAGCCACACATATACATGTATCCATTCTCCCCCAAACCTCTCTCCCATCCAGGCTGCCACATAACATTGAGCAGAGTTCCATGCGCCAAACAAAAGGGCCTTGTTAGTTATCTGTTTGAAATACAGCAATGTGTGCATGACCATCCCAAACTCTCCCTAACTGTCCCTTCCCCCCAGCAACCAGAAGTCTATAAACAACAGAAATTATTGTCTCACAGTTCTAGAGGCTAGAAGGCCAAGATCAAGACCAGTTCCTTCTCAGGGCTGTGAGGAAAATCTGTTCCATGCCTCTCCCCTAGCTTCTGGTAATTTTCAGTATTCTTTGGCTTGTAGAAGAATCACAGTGATTTCTGCCTTCATTGTCACATGGTTTTTTCCCTGTGTGCCTGTCTTTTTGTCCAAATTTCCTCTTTTTATAAGTATACCAGTCATATGGATTAGAGGCCCACCCTACTCCAGTAAGACCTCAGCTTAACTAATTATATCTATAATGACCCTATTTCTAAATAAGGTCACACGCTGATGAATTGGGGTTAGGACTTCAACATATAAATTTTAAGGTGGACACAATGAAATAATGGTAAGAATCAGACACAGTTAATGGTCAAACACCAGGATGCACTAGATACAACCTGAACTCAATGCCTGCTAGTCAGAAACACGGAAGGCAAGATCTGGGGAAATCTAGTATATATTTAGAAGATGAAGAGTTTGAAATAAAGAACAAAGGAAAACAAGGACAGAAAGCTAGGAGATCAGAATAAGGTGGTCAAGCCAAAAATAGGGAATACAATACACCAGACTCAGAGAAGGGATATCTTTCATGGAGAGGAGAGAGATTAGAACCTTAGACACCAAGTTTCAGCCAGTCGTCTCCTTCACCTGACTCAGGCTTGGTTGGATATGGTGAATGTTTATCACAACCAAACATATGAATGTTTGGTTGCACAATTTTCATTTATCCATCATAATAACACTTTGCTTTTCTTTTAGTCACCTCTTCCCAATTCATGTAGTCTATCCTGAGACACTGGATACTGAGCAACAGTCACAAGGATGAGAACATGGATTAGAGGTCACTAATACATGCAGTAGTGACAGAAAGGGCAGTAAGGCTGGCAGCAGTGGCATTGACCTGAACAAGCTGTTCCTGCTGCTAGACTGCAGGCTTCTGACTCCCAAACTGCACAGTTATTTAGACTCCTGTCCTTTCCTATGGTAGTTTCCCAGCCTCCTGACAATTCAGTGACTCATAATGTCCTTCTGATAAATTTATCTTTGCTTCACTAGTCATAGTTGGATTCTATCACTTGCAATCTAGAGCTCCAACCGAGGTGACACCCAAATGCTGCTTCAGGGGACTGGGAAAAAAGAAAGCCAGGAAGAGCTTACTTAACACTCAGGTGGATGACTCCTCATCATTCATATACTCTTCTATACCAGTCTTCAATATTTTAAAAGGAAAGTTGTTGAAAAGACTATTAGAATTTTACTTGACTGAACCCAAAATAATAGTATCTTAAACAAAATCAAGGTTTATTTTTCTCTCATAGACAGAAATCTGAAGCCAGGCAAGTCTAAAACTATTACAGTGGTTCTACTTTGTAATCAGGACTCCAGGTTTTCTGCTTCCATCCTTCCCTTGGCTTCCATTTTCAGGGTCAGCTCATAGCCTAAGATGACTGGAACTATGGTCAGAGAAATCAAGTTGGGGAAATAAAAATGAAAGGCAAAAGAGCCAAGTCCTTTGACTCCTTTCCAGCCGAGTCAGCTCCTATGATGCCCTCTACCAACACAACACTTTTGCTTACATTTTATTGGCCTGAACTCAGTCATATGGCCCTATCAATATACAAAGACGTAGGGAAATACTCTTTTGTTGTAAGCAGCAGTATGCCCAGCTGAAAATCGTAGTTCTATAATTAAGGAGAAAAGAAAATGGCTATTGGTAAGCAACTACCAGTTTCTACCTCAAAATCTTCTTTTACTTTCTCAGCAATGACAAACTTCTCAAATGTCTATTACTATATACAAGGCAGAGCACTTCAGGAGTTTTATACTTATACCAGTAAAGCTGGTTGAGGAGTACATCAGTTAGAATGCCCTCAGCTGCAAGTAACAGAAAACTCAACTGAAAGTAGCCTAAACAATGAGGAAATATGTCATCTCATATAATAAAAAGTGCAGAAGTCAACCAATTGCTATGTTAGTTAATTCAGCAACTCTATAATATCATCAAGGGTTCGTGTTCTTTCTTTTCACTTCCCCTCATCTGGTTATAGGTCTCTAAAAGCCCCACTTTGGTCAGAAGATGACTATGTAAACATTGAAAACACCTAGAAAAAGACAAGGTATTCTTTCAGGAGCAAGGAAATAGCTCACCCATACAGTTGCATTCAGTTTGTGGTTTGGCTGGAGGGTCTAAGATGGCTTTGCCTGTGTACCTGGTATCTTGGTGGGGATAGCTGAAAAAGTGAGACTTCTGTCATCATTCAGTAGTCTAGCCTGAGCTGCTTTACATGGTAGCTGGGTTCCAAAAGGGCAAAAGCTTAGCAAGCCTCTACTTGCCTCATGCTTGTTAGAGTCTCATTGGCCAAAGCAAATTACACAAGAAGTCCAGAATCACTGTGGGAGGGGATTACACCAGGGCTTGAATGCCAGGAAATGTGCTTTCTTGGAGGTCATCAGTACAACAGTCTTCTACCGGGTACGGTTTTGAGCCCTTTGGGGTGGGGAGTTTGTCTTCAAGAACTTACAATATTGTTCAGGGATGTGAGACAAACTCTTGGAAAGTTAAATAGAAACTCATGACTTCAATATTTTAATAACATTTTAAAGACTATGGAAGTCTGAAGGCAGGCCCAGAGAGAGGGGTTTCAACCTGGAAAAGCTAGTTGGATTTTTTTCCCAGGAGATTTCATATGGTGGTGAATGTTCCATGCCTCAGGGTCAGGCCTTCAGTGTTCATCTTCAGTATGTTTAGTGCCCTGGGTGCATGCATGCTGAGTCGCTTCAGTTGTATCCAACTCTTTGCAACCCCACGGACTGCAGCCTGCCAGGCTCCTCTGTTCATGGGGATTCTCCAGCCAAGAATACTGCAGTGGGTTGCCATGCCCTCCCCCAGGGGATCTTCCCAACCCAGGGATCAAACCCAGGTCTCCAGCATTGCAGGCAGTTTCTTTACTGTCTGAGCCACGAGGGAAACCCAAGAATCCTGGAGTGGGGAGCCCATCCCTTCTCCAGGGGATCTTCCCGACTCAGGGATCAAACTGGGGTCTCTTGCATTGCAGGCAGATTCTTTACCAGCTGAGCTACCAGGGAAGCCCATTTAGTGCCCTAGTACTGGTTAATTTCTAGAGAAATTAACTTCAGTCTGACTAAACATGCAAGCTGCCAGGGAGAGTATACCAGGATGCCAGTGACACTGAAGAGTAGAATATAATGTCAAGCAGACCAGATGTGAAGATTGACCTGAACAGCCAGCCCATTGCCTCAGTGAGCAAGTTCATTTGAAGCTAAATATGCTTGATGAACACAGATTCAGAATAAGGCTGCTTGGACATAAAATTTGAATTATTAAAGGGTTCTGGTAGCCCATTACATTGATCTTCATTCATTCATATGTATATTTTCAATGTATTATGAAGTGCGTGAGTGTGTGCTCACTCGGTGATGTCCGACTCTTTGTGACCCCATGGACTGTAGCCCACCAGGTTCCTCTGTTCATGGGATTCTCCAGGCAGGAGTACTGGAATGGATTGCCATTTCCTTCTCCAGGGGATCTTCCTGACCCAGGGATCGAATTCGAGTCTCCTGCATTGGCAGGCGGGTTCTTTACCACTGAGCTACCAGCAAAGTCCCTTTAATTACTCTGAGCAGGAGTAATTTTAAGGGGAAACAGGGCTGCAGCACTTCCATAAATTCTCAAACATACATGTCTAGAATTACATATGTATACAAAAGCAAAAGCCTCTTTCGACTCCAACTGATTTCTACCCAGTGCCAATATGAACCACCTCCAAATCAGGTAGGGGTGTGTGTTTATTTGGGATTGATGTCCTTGTTTGGTACAGTCTTTTATCAAAGATAACCCTAATGCTAGTTGGTTTTCCTCTAAGTGTGTGCAAATTATATTTTGCCTTTGTGATCAAAATTATGTAAATACCAGAGCTTTCCTTCTCATTAATATCTTAGACACCAGTTGGTGTTTAACTGACCTATTGATGTTTTCACTGTCTTTGTCTCTCTGTTCTAATTGTTGATGCCAGTTTGTTTTTCTTCACATTATTAAGTCTATTTCTAGAATAGAGTTGAGTGTAACATAATTATATACTTTGGGGTCAATTCTCCTCCTTTCTATTCTATTTCTTAGAAGGATGTTGCCAACTTTCCTCTCTGACTCTCCACTCAGCTCCATCTCTTTTCGACACTGCTGTATCTGTCTGGGCAACACAGAGTAATCTATTAAAAAACATGAACCCACCTCTCTTCACTCTTGCTCAGCTACTGAGTTTGGTCTGTATTTTGGCATTTACTTACTCCCTCCCTCTAGGTTTCCCAGGTGGCGCTAGTGGTAAAGAACCTGCCTGCCAATGAAGGAGATACAAGAGATGCAGGTTCAATCCCTGAGTAGGGAAGAACCCCTGGAGGAGGGCATGGCAACCCACTCCAGTATTCTTGCCTGGAGAATCCCATGGACAGAGGAGCCTGACAGGCTACAGTCAGGGTTGCAAAAAGTCAGCCAAGACTGAAGCAACTTAGCATGCCTCCCTCCCTCCAGTTTTTGAGGACTGACTTTCCTCCTTATGCTTGTCAGAAGCAAACCAAGAATCTCTATCACCTTGGTTTTCTTCAAGGAAAAGAAATACTTGTATTTCCCAGCAAAAACGAGGCCCTGCTATATATTTCAAGAGACTCCCAGGGCCTCCCAAGCACCAGCAGGCATAGTCTAACTGGCAGGTCTGATCTTTAGCTCTTGAGCCCTCTTGAACCCATTTCATGTGAAATGCAAGGCTGGATGAATCACAAGCTGCAATCAAGATTTCCAGGAGAAATACCAACAACCTCAGATATGCAGATGATACCACTTTAATGGCAGAAAGTGAAGAAGAACTAAAGAACCTCCTGAGGAGGGTGAAACAAGAGAGTGAAAAAGCTAGCGTAAAACTAAAAAAAACTAAGATCATGTCATCCGGTCCCATTACTTCATGGCAAATAGATGGGGAAACAATGGAAACAGTGAAAGGCTTTATTTTCTTGGGTTCCAAAATCACTGTTGATGCTGTTGTCAGCCATGAAATTAAGACACTTGCTCCTTGGAAGGAAAGCTATGACAAATCTAGACAGTAAAAGCAGAGACATCAGTTTGCTGACAAAGATCTGTATAGTCAAAGCTCTGGTTTTTCCAGTAGTCATGTATGGATGTGGGAGTTGGACCATAAGGAAAGCTGAGCACCAAAGAATTGATGTTTTCAAACTGGTGCTGGAGAAGACTCTTGAGAGTCCCTTGGACAGCAAGGAGATCAAATCTGTCAATCCTGAAGAAAATCAATCCTGAATATTCATTGGAAAGACTGAGGCTGAAGCTCCAATACTCTGGCAACCTGATGCGAAGAGCTGACTCATTAGAAAAGACTCTGATGCTGGGAAAGATCGAAGGCAGGAGAAGGGGATGACAGAAGATGAGATGGTTGGATGGCATTGCTGACTCAATGGATATGAGTTTGAGCAAACTCCGAGAGATAGTGAAGGACAGGGAAGCCTGGCGTATTGCAGTCCATGGGGTTGCAAAGAGTCGGACACAGCTGAGCGACTAAACAACAATTATTGAAGGTCAAATCATTATCTTGTTGTTTCTTCCCCCACTTTGCCCATACAAAACTTTTTGACCTTTTCTGGCTTCTCAGATTTTACTCTCCCATTCCCATCATTTAACACTGTCTTTTATTTTGCTTTATATTTTTGGAGCATAGAAAGCTTTATTTCAGGCCCAAGCAAGGAGAACAGGTGGCTCATGTTCAAAAACTCCAAACTCCCTGGTGGTTTGGGGGGAGAAGTTTTTAGGCAAAATTTGGGGTGAGGACTGCAGGGTGGGTGACTTTCTTCTGACTGGTGAGGAGGTAGCAGGATGATGTTCCAGGAATTTTGTGCTCAGCTTGAAGTTGCCATCCTCCATCTGGGTGGGGGCCTTAGTTCCTGGGAGCCGTACAGGGTCCTGCTCAGTTTCAAACCAGGATCAGATTCCAGAACCAAGAGATTAGAAGACCACCATCCACCTGGAGTCTGAAGTTCATCAAAGCCTGTCTTTAAGAAATTAAAATAAGAACCATTTGGTCTCAGGACTGAAGCTCAGTAGGTATATGTCTCATCTCATAAAGAATCAGTGAGGTGCAAAGTGAGAGGTAAGAAATGTATCTGTGTATTTAGTTAGAGAGATAGACATTCCATAGATAGAATGGATCCATGTCAAAAGGCAAGAATGGCCTTGGGAGAAACATGCCCCACAGACAGAGTGTGGGCCATCTCAGAAGGCAAAAGGCAACACTGTCTTTAAATTCATTTATATTCAACAAACCAAAGAGGCATCAGTCATTAGGAGTCCCTAACTTAGAAGGCTGCTAGGGAACTATAACAATTTTTTGTCATCAAATAATATTTTCTTCTCCCACACTAATTAGAAAGGTCCATGTGCTGGCAAAGGGCACTGTGGATGTATCATCCTGTGTTTTCCCAAAGATAAGTGCCAAACATTTGTGTGTGAATGTAGTATTTGTCACACCTTGTTAATTATAATCCCCCTTTCTCATTTAGAGCTTTCAAGATGTATTAATACTGTTATTCTCTGAGTCATTCGCTTTAATTCTGTTTCACCCCTAGTGAGCTGACTGTACAATCTGTATAATCTCTTTCAGCTAGCGTGCGTGCTGTGTGTTGAGGGGAGGAACTGAACAGCTGCCCCCATTATCTATAAAGAGAACAGAAAAAAAAAAAAGAAAAAAAACATTTTCAGGTGGTGATTAAAGTGTCTAAGTGCCACAGGACAGGAGATCACGTCGCTAAGATTCCAAGGTGGTGGGGCGGTGGGGGGGAGGGGGGCAGAAGTGAACATTGAGTTTTCCTATTTGCATGCCTCTAGAGGGATTAACAAAAAAATAATCACAGAGGTTGGGGGGAAATACGGGGGTAGGGTGGGGAGTAGAGAATAGAGATTTGTTAAAGCAGGGAGGTGATGAGAAGTTGGAGGCAGAATTTGGAAGCCCTGAATATCAGACTGTGGAGCTAAAGCTGGGTCTTTAGGTCATAGGAAACAAGACACTTACAGACTAGCAGTTTTGCTAGTCTGTAAAACACCTGGGATTCCATTCTTCTATGCCTCTCTAATACAGAATTCACTAACACACACATTCAATTAGTTAATAATCAAAACTCTGTGCCTAAATTGCTGCTTGGCAATAATTGGCTGGATAGTAAGGCAGCTGCTTTAGATGGAGCATGGCTCTCCAGCTCCCTCAGGCCCTACCTGGTCTGTGTTCGCTTTTTTAGATTAATGGCCTTCAAATCATACTCATTAAAAAAATTCTGAAAAAATAGGTTGCTGCCTGAACTTTTAAAATTATCAGTTTAAATTGTTTTAAAGGATGTAATTTATGATATGCTGAAACATTAACATTTTATTTTTTATTTTTTTTAACATTAACATTTTAAAGTGAAGCTGTCATATCACTCTTTTAAATGCATCCCAGTTCAGTTCAGTCGCTCAGTCATGTCCCACTCTTTGCAACCCCATGGACTGCATCACGCCAAGGCTTCCCTGTCCATCACCATCTCCCAGAGCTTGCTCAAACTCATGTCCATCGAGTCGGTGATGCCATCCAACCATCTCATCTTCTGTTGTCCCCTTCTCCTCCTGCCTTCAATCTTTCCCATCATCAGGGTATTTTCCAATGAGTCAGTTCTTTGCATCAGGTGGCCAGTGTAATTTAAATACCATCGCAGTTTGATACCAACATCATCCTTTAAAAGTACATGAATAAGGAACTTCCCTAGTGGTCCTTTTCATACTGTCCACGGGGTTCTCAAGGCAAGAATACTGAAGTGGTTTGCCATTCCCTTCTCCGGTGGACCACATTTTGTCAGAACTCTCCACCATGACCCGTCCATCTTTGGTGGCCCTACACGGCATGGCTCATAGTTTCATTGAGTTAGACAAGGCTGTGGTCCATGTGATTAGTTTGATTAGTTTTCTGTGATTGTGGTTTTCAGTCTGTCTGCCCTCTGATGGAGAAGGATAAGAGGCTTATGGAAGCTTCCTAATGGGAGAGACTGACTGAGGGGAAAACTGGGTCTTGTTCTGATGGGTGGGGCCATGCTCAGTAAGTCTTTAATCCAATTTTCTGTTGATGGATGGAGCTGTGTTCCCTCCCTGCTATTTAGAGTCAGTAGCTGACCCTCAGATCCCGATACACCAGAAAGAAGACTGTGACATGGAGGTCTGACTAGAAAGACAGAAACTCAGGCAGCACTGAGACCTCCAGTCGCGATAGACAGAGTGCCTGATGAACCATGGACAGAGGTTCGTGACATTGTACAGGAGACAGGGATCGAGACCATCCCCAAGAACAAGAAATGCAAAAAAGCAAAATGGCTGTCTGAGGAGGCCTTAAAAATAACTGAAAAGAAGAGAAGCAAAAAGCAAAGGAGAAAAGGAAAAGATATATCCATTTAAATGCAGAGTTTCAAAGAATAGCAAGGAGAGATAAGAAAGCCTTCCTCAGTGATCAGTGCAAAGAAATAAGAGGAAAACAATAGAATGGGAGGGACTAGAGATCTCTTCAAGAAAATTAGCAATACCAAGGGAACATTTCATGTAAAAATGGACTCATTAAAGGATAGAAATGGTATGGACCTAACAGAAGTAAGGAGATATTAAGAAGAGGTGGCAAGAATACACAGAAGAACTGTACAAAAAAGATCTTCACAACCCAAATAATCACAATGGTGTGATCACTCACCTAGAGCCAGACATCCTGAAATGTGAAGTCAATTGGGCCTGAGGAAGCATCACTAAAAACAAGCTAGTGGAGGTGATGGAATTCCAGTTGAGCTAATTCAAATCCTAAAAGATGATGCTGTGAAAGTGCTGCACTCAATATACCAGCAAATTTGGAAAACTCAGCAGTGGCCACAGGACTGGAAAAAGTCAGTTTTCATTCCAGTCCCAAAGAAAGGCAATGCTAAAGAATGCTCAAACTATCGCACAATTGCACTCATCTCACACGCTAATAAAGCAATGATCAAAATTCTCCAAGCCAGGCTTCAGCGGAATGTGATCCGTGAACTTCCAGATGTTCAAGCTGGTTTTAGAAAAGGCAAAGGAACCAGAGATCAAATTGCCAACATCTGTTGGATCATCGAAGAAACAAGAGAGTTCCAGAAAAACATCTATTTCTGCTTTACTGACTATGCCAAATCCTTTGACTGTGTGGATCACAGTAAACTGTGGAAAATTCTGAAAGAGATGGGAATACCAGACCACCTGACCTGCCTCTTGAGAAACCTGTATGCAGGTCAGGAAGCAACAGTTAGAACTGGACATGGACCAACAGACTGGTTCTAAATAGGAAAAGGAATATGTCAAGGCTGTATATTGTCACCCTGCTTATTTAACTTATATGCAGAGTACATCATGAGGAATGCTGGGCTGGAGGAAGCACAAGCTGGAATCAGATTGCCAGGAGAAATATCAATAACCTCAGATATGCAGACGACACCACCCTTGCGGCAGAAAGTGAAGAGGAACTAAAAAACCTCTTGATGAAAGTGAAGGAGGAGAGTGAAAAAGTTGGCTTAAAGCTCAACATTCAGAAAACTAAGATCATAGCATCTGGTCCCATCATTTCATGGCAAATAGATGGGGAAACAGTGGCTGACTTTATTTTGGGGGGCTCCAAAGTCACTGCCGATGGTGACTGCAGCCATGAAATTAAAAGACACTTACTCCTTGGAAGGAAAGTTATGACCAACCTAGATGGCATTTTAGAAAGCAACCTAGAAAGCAGAGACATTACTTTGTCAACAAAGGTCCATCTAGTCAAGGCTATGGTTTTTCCAGTAGTCATATATGGATGTGAGAGTTGGACTATAAAAAAGCTGAGCACCGAAGAATTGATGCTTTTGAACTGTGGTGTTGGAGAAGACTCTTGAGAATCCCTTGGACTGCAAGGAGATCCAACCAGTCCATCCTAAAGGAGATCAGTCCTGAATGTTCATTGGAAGGACTGATCCTGAAGCTGAAACCCCAATACTTTGGCCACCTGATGTGAAGAGCTGACTCATTTGAAAATACCCTGATGCTGGGAAAGATTGGGGGCAGGAGGAGAAGGGGATGACAGAGGATGAGATGGTTAGACGGCATCACCGACTTAATGTACGTGAGTTTAAGTGGACTCTGGGAGTTGGTGATGGACAGAGAGGCCTGGAGTGCTACAGTCCATGGGGTCGAAAAGAGTGGGACACAACTGAGTGACTGAACTGAACTGAACTGAACTGGTGGTCCAGTGGTTGATTCCAGCCTGCAGGGGACAACTGGGAAACCAGGGTCCTGCATGCCACGTGACAAAAGAAAAGAAATTTTTTTGAGTTGAACATTTTATTAATATATGGTTCCTTTTTCTCTTTGAAATCCTATTTTCTTTCTAGAAT